TATCAAGAGTGGGAAAGCAGCTGGACCTGACAACATACCAGCCAAAGCAGTAAAGTCAGATATTGAAGTAACTGCAAAGATACTCCACGTTCTACTTAGGATGATTTGAGCGGACTGAAAGAAGGATAACTCATCAAGATACGAAAGAAAAGAGATCTGAGCAAATGTGAGAACTATAGAGGTGTCACACTACTATCAGTACCAGGAAAGGTTTTCAACAGAGTGTTGCCGACCCAAATGAAAGTTTCAGTAGACACCCGGCTTCAAGATCAACATTTAAGCTAGAGAGAGATATGCGTAGGCTGTTATGTAATCAAGCGTACACGTTTATACAGACAAGATAGTGATCATTATAATACAAAGAAGTAGACGAGCTGCTACTGTTCGAATAACATTGTCCGTTAAGTAAGTTAATAAAATGGCATAAGAAAATCGATATTGATTGTAGGAGAGTTGCTATAAGCACATGTATTTACAAACAATTGTCTCCACAAGATACTGAATGTTTGCTGACCGGATAGCATTAGCACTAGCCTACTGTGCTAAAGAACAAACCAGGTTCCAGGTGAATAGAATATACATTGTGTATTACGAGGCAAGCGCTAACTTGAAATCCTGAAGGGAAACGGGAAAGAGGAAGACCAAAGAACACACTACGTCGGGAATCGGAAATAGATATGAAAACGATGAATGGCAACTGAAATGGACTGGAAAGGATTGCTCAGGACAGAGTTGGATTGAGAATGCTGTTGGTTGGCCTATGCTCTTCCACGAGGGGTAACAGGCAGAAGTAAAGTGAGTAAGTACATAACATTTCATGAAAAGTTAACAGACAAGATATAACTTCTAATCATGTGTGTTACGTCATTACCATAGTAGTAAGGGAATTGAGAAAAGTAGCACAATTGATCGTGACCACGCAATCGATTGTCAGTATTTTCGACCATCATTCAATCTGCAACTATTGATTAATCAAAGTCAATAGCTTAAGTCCCATAAGCACTTATAATTTGACAAAATTGTATTACTTCGGAACATTACTCTGTAAGGATTCAGTTTGTCATTTTCACGGTAAAACTGTTATATACAACTAATAAAAACCATCATTCATACAACTATTTACCATTTGCTACCCAACTGATCAGATAAATAACTATGTGCTGTAATGTATTTAACCTTTATGGTCTGACAACTATTTATATTATAAATTATGTTCTGCTATTTCAATGTTCATTTTTGAACTTTATATATACACTAACCTAGGTCACCAATAATCAGTTTTCAATACAAAATTCGAATAAGTTTACCATAATTACAGCAGGATTTTGATATTACCTAATGTAGTTCATTTATGTATATTAATAATACTTAATTATCTACCGGTTAGTGTATGATATTTTCATTATTCAATGTTATACAATTTAAAAGTTGATACAGACTGAAAAAAAAATTCAGTCAAACAACTATGTAATTAGTACCATTATCAGCAATCACTTTAATCAATTTGTATAGTAAACAAGTACAGGCATAAAAATTTAGATTGTTCAATGTAGTTCATTGATGATATATGTAAAATAAACGAATTAGAATAGAATTAGCTAAAAACTAACTAATCACTAAGAAAAATTAGAAACTTGTTTTATACCATCCCACAGCACAGAGTAAAGCTTATTTAAATTATGTATATGGGAAACAGAGGGATATTCATGTTTCGGTGTATACCTTTCATGTTATTTAACTCATAAGACTTCCTTTAAAATGCTAAAATCCTACGGAATTAATTTCGTCATATAACTAATTTGTTTGAGATTACAAAATGGTCATCAGTTTATAGTTAATAGTCAATGTGTAACCAAAATCTTTTTATGTTCAATAAAGAACTCATTGTATGAATATACCAGTCTATTTGTTCTTCACTTAACCTTCAATAACAAAGTTTATTTATAATTACTCATCTGCCAATAACAGATATGTTATGAATTTAGGAATCATAGATTTTTAAAACAAATTATTGTTTGATATTTAACAGTGAGATAAATAACATTATAAAATACATTTTTTATGCAAAGATGGATAGTGACTAGCAGTGGAATCCAGGACGCATGTTTCGTCCTATTTGGGACTCGCCAGCTGGATGTACCTGCATCCCAGATTTGATGTTCACCCCGGGAAGATACAAGTAAAACAACACCAAGTGAATATAAAATACACCATTTCATCCATATAATTAACTTGAATAAAGAGATGCGCTTGTACATGAGTCATTTCTGTCGTTTTTTCTTCAAAATTTCTTTCCTTATAATTTTGAGACTAAACTTCCAAGTTTTCTTGTTTACCTGCATGTATTTCTATTTACTATAAATTGACAGAATGAAGTCACTTTCTTTGGTATACTATCCAATTATGTAACAGAATAACTTGATGAGAAGGCTGTTGAATGAATTAGGCACTAGAGGTTTTATTCAGGATAATAATGAAGCTCAGTGAAATTGCCTAGATTAGAGAGGACAAAACCACCAAGAGATCAGTAATCATCAATTTCTTTTTTCTTTCAAAAAGCAGATGATGGACATTTTGATCATGAAGAATATCAGAATTAGCTCAAAGTGAAACCAATAAGTTAGAATTATTTTGCGACAAAGATATAAAAACCGATATCTATATAACGTGGATACAGACATCAAAACGTTATTCTTTCGATTAAACTGCTCTCGAAACTATCTAATTATATTTATTTTCATGAGATTATCTTGAAATAAAACCTGGACAAGATTGCCAGGCGAAACGTTGGATTTACTTCAAATTCATTCGCTGTGATTTTACAAATACACTCTTCCTCTTTAATGTTTCGGCGCCCAAATATTGTGAAACTATTTGATAAAATTTATACGAAAGTTCTTATTTATTAAAACCTTACCAAACTAACAAGTTATAATAATGGTCTGTGACCAAAATTTGACATAATAACATTGAACATGGGTTTCAGCTGCCTCGACGCCACTTGTATCAATTCCACCATAGCTTATTCTCTTCTCTGAAAATCTAGTGATAGTCTGTAAATAATAAGGAAATATTCAAAGAAGACATTAAGTGAAAAGTGGAGATACGCTTTTTGTGACGCCAAAGACAGGTGTAATTAATGGCTCACACATCACCGCTCTTTGGATACGATATATATTATGCAGACTAGTGACTTGGAACATTATTAGATGCAGCCAGAATTTATAATAAACGAGATCTTATTACAGTATTCCCATAAAAAACCACTGAGATGTTTTCGTTAGAGTAATGAAATCTGCTTAACACTTTGACTGTAATTTTCCTTATTTTCACTCCTTTAAAACCCTAAAAAACCATAGTTCTTCTGAGTGTATGACATATTTATTAATGGCCAACTTCATCGGATGTTTTTTATGAATTAAATATATAATAGATGACCTTTAAATAAGCAGTCACAAAGGCATTAAGTCGTTTGTTATTTATAGTTCATCACATGCTTGCAACTTCTTAGAATTTTACTATTAATACGACCAGTGAGCTTATAGTGTCATATTAAATTAAATCAGCGAAAATGAGTGATCTTTGTCATCATAGAGTTTACCAGATTAAAAAAATACTCATTTCTAACATGATTTGTCTTTTTGCAAGTATTGATAAATTGACAGATTATAATGTTATCTAGATCATGTTATTAAAACAAATGAACATTTGAACTGATAATCTTTTTTCGATAATAATAATAATAGTTTGAGAGCATAATTTGAAGAATCAGGTTGTTCTATCTACAAAATTTTCCGGATGTAAAACGATGGGTTCAATCAGTAATCAAGCGAGAACTTTGACTAATTGTACTGAGGTTCCCAATGGAAATTAAATTATGATTGATGGGATCAGGATAGTTAGCAAGTGATATGTACTTCTGAGCAATATAAATAAAGAGAAATCGCTTTATTCATCACAGGCTGATGATACAACTCGGACCAAAGTAAGTGGAACGAGAATCGAACCTGTGACCTAGTGGTTCAAAGTTGAACGCCTCGACTTCTTAGCCACTGCTTCACAAAAAATCTGAATTCTGAATCTTCATAAGACCCTAAACATTTCTTATTCGAACATTAAGCTTTATGATGAAATCTTAGATATTAAAGATGATAGAACCACTAGAATGACTTGTACGAAAGATTATTTGAGGTATATATAATGTTTATTATTGAAAGACCAAGGTTTTTGTTCAGTTTACAATATACAAATCCTGAGTAAAATACGAAATAAATAGAAAACGTCCAGTTTTCTACAATTAGCATAACATGCTATCAAGCTATTTCAACATCGACTTTACATAACTTTACTCTGACATCCGTATTTCAAATCTGTTATACGATCTCATTAGCTTCAGCTTAGAATACGACTACCGTTTCGCGTTTACCTTCATTTCTAACATACTGACTCGTCGTATGTTATAATCGTTATTATAAATATTTTCGTATTCAGAAATCACTATTCCTTTAAAGACTAACTGTAAAATTCCTCATCTAATTATGCTTGCTAATTAGTCAATGTAGTATTATAAACTAATTCACATAAAACAGTTAATTACTTTCCCCTATTAAAATTACTACTCATAACACTTTCAGCTAATTAAAAGTTGAATAAACATTGTAAAATGAATGAAATTCATATTTTCTATCATTCTAAATCTTATTGACACATGTGAAATGAGATCAGAAATTCTGACTTTACAAAATGTCAAAATGATATTCATTGATGAAGTGTAGAAAATTAGTACAGTGTAAACTATTATCAATAAAGGATGATAACAATATTATAAGATTGATAAAATATGCACATTAAAACAAAGATCTAAATGAATTACAAATGAACAAAAAGAAATAAAATAAATGGTAAATAATGAAAAGAGAAGAAATGAAGAAAGAAATAAACTAGTCACATTCTAATTTTATACTTCAATATTGATAGGATTTTTTTTTTGCATTCGTACTTCAACCAGGTACAGGATCATTGATTTCTACTGCACCAAGACCTAGTTCTAATCGTTCTGTGTCATCATCAACTTCATCATCATCTAAATGTGATGTAGGACTGCTACGATTTGAACTATTTGCACCAGCACTTCGCAACGGTGTTGATTGTCCTGATAATGATGGAGATACAGGTGCTGAATATGGTCGACTAAGATGAAAACTATGAGTCGATAAAGTATCGTCATTGTTGTTAGATGTGAATAGTTCTGGAGAGAATCTCTTTAAAGCCATTAATCTGGCACGTTGATAGTACTAGATAAAAAAGATATATATGAAACGTACTAATAATTAACAATTTATATGAATTATAACACACTTCATAAATGGCAATACTTTATAAGACACTAACTTTGTTAATGACATTCAAACGATAAGAGTGATCCATAGATTTATTATGTTAAGCATAATAAAACTTCTGTTTTTAAAGTCAACATCACGTTGATGAACTAGAAAAGAACAACTTAAACACAGGCACAAAAATCCATGTCTTTATATCCAAAAAGAAGTAACCATGATATGGATGTATAGTTTATTAACACTAAAAAAATTCATTAATAAAACGATATATTACATCGGAAAATAATAAAATTAATTCTATCCTGTCTTCCTTATGACCAGTCGTGTTACGTTCAAAGGCTCAAAATATTATGGAATGGCGTCTAGAATTGGTCAGGAAAGTCCTACTCACTACCTTCTCGTGGCGGTGTTGTTTACGAAATTGAGAGGATGAAAAGCGAATGTCCGGCTCTTTACCCGGATTGATGGATATAGAGGATCCACCTAAAGGAGTTAGTAAACCCTGATTCCAAACCAATGGTGTACATGGGCTCCAGGATTCTGAGGGAACTAATGGCATATGAACCGATTGTTGGTCACCGGCTACAATGGGACTGCATCGCTTGACATTTCTCCACTGCCTTGTGGATCAGATCTTTAGGTTGAAGGCTCCGGGCGTGGCCTCCTAAGAAAACCACCTGCTTCGGTCTGGGCGTCCGGGCAGTATCACAGTCCACGCACAAATCAAGTGACTTGTGTAGCACATATGTATTCGGTGCCTGTTGTACCAATATTTATGTGTTCAAATAAATAAATAAGAAATGAAATGAAATTAATCGGTATAATTAATTAATCATAAATTTATATAAACCAACAATTAGTGACACATTAAAATGTTCAAAGAAATACATCATATTAAAATTTAATAAGTCCGATATACTATTGATTTCTAACCACGAATTTGGTTAAAGTAAAGAGCTCAATAAAAAAAATCCCGATCAGCTGTTACGTAAGACAATCTATTACAACAACATTTTATTAAATTACAAACTATTATAGTTGATATTTAAAACTTTTGATTATTGTTGGTCGTTTTGTTTAGAAATCAGAAGAATACCTCTTGATTTTACTATAATATCAAATTTTAAGTAAATAACTTAACTAGAAATATAATTGAAAAGATTAAGTAAATGAAACAGTCAAAAGAAACTTCTTTACATTGAAATGTTCTTACTTCTTCTTCAGTGACACAGTAGGTTTCTTTAGTTAAACTAATTTTAGATCAGTTTATTCTAAATGTTTTAACTTAGTCGGAGGACTGACTATACTTCTTTCAACAATTTGAACTAGAAGATGACTTTTGAGATTCAAATATGAGTATGAGAGAGTGAATGTATCTATAGTATGGTGGCAAACATTAAATTATATTATTAATAAGGTAGAGTTTGAGCTCATAGATTTAAGAAACATAATTATTCTAAATTCTAGTCAAATATTATATTCCTTAAATATCTGTTTATGATTACAAAGTTATTGTTCGCAAACCCTTAAAACGGAATCATTCTTACACCAATCGGTGTGGCACATTTTGATTAGAAACGGTTCATCATGTATGAAAATATCGTCTAGTCATCAGATTATATGATGGTTATAACTACTCGATCAATCGAAATACACTTCGGGCCTAAAATTCATAAATCAACCTAAGCATCAGGAAATCAAAAAATTCATAATAATCATGTTACTGTAGATGTGTACTTTAAAATAGTAAGTGATATTTATCATTTTAAATATCCTTTGACTTAAATACAACATTCAAGAACTTTTACACTTACACAGGAAAGATTTTTCCAATCCAACAGTTCACTTAATCGCTCAGTACGATTTCTTAAAACAATACGTTGACGACGAGAATATTGACAGAACTCAACCAAATACTACAGAGAAATTAGAAATAAGATATAAAATGAAAAAAAGATTTGAAGAAAAAATTATACTTATTATATATGTTTATATTCATATACTTTACAATTAAGAAAAACAACCCGGCGACCTGATGGACAACGGCCAACTCCTTTTTAAAACTAAGCTATCCATTTTAAATTGAAGAAATTTTCTATATATGCTGCCCATTAGGACATCATATATTTATCACGAATGATGATTGAAGACACAACAACATGACTACAGTTGTTTGTCTTAGACGCTTGAAAGGACGCAGTTTGAAAAACCAAATGGTCAAGAAACATTCAACAGAATATGATATTTGACTTTAATATTTTTTTCTCAAAGTAAGATGAGTCCAAACAACCTTGAAAGTTATTACAGAGTTCTATGTAGATTGTTAAATTTGAAGTTCTCACATCATAGGATAACTTGGGTTAGACAATTATGAAAAGTTAACCAGTACTGGATAACTCTGAGCACCTCTGAAAGTGATGTTTTTACTTAAATATTACTATTTGCAGAAATGATTTGTATCGAATATATTTTTGGTTTAATCTTGATATATCAACAGGAAATGACCTATAATTGGATGCACAGCACTCAATCATTATCCTGTCGTCTTATTCTATAAGATACATAAAGATACAGAAATATTCTCTACTTTAAATTGTGTCATATTTGTCAAATGAGTCGCCAAAGACTGAATCTTATACGTGATCATAAAATGAGTTCAAAAAGGGATTATGAAGGAGTGAAATATAACCAACTGCAGGTGTAGGTTAATTCCAGTTTTGATAGTCTCGATCGTATAGAAATACCTTGGTTAACTGTTGAACACTGTCTTCACAGCTTTGAAAACGACGATCAACAATGTATATTCCATAAGATTTGGGATCTTCTACATGCTCTTCTATGAAGCAGCCAAATCCAGAAAGGTTTGTTGTTACTGATGGAATACCCATTACGGTGCATTCAGCTTAAATGAAAAAAAAAACAATATACAAGAATATTGAATAATTACTAGATAAAAATGCACCAAATCATGTCATTTTTAAGGATCATAATAACGAATGAGACTTTTGTCACTACAGCTCATTAAACACACCATGTGTTCTAAAAAGGATGAAACATACTTCTTGGATTCCACTGTTAATCACCATTCACTCAAACTACTATGCTTGTAACTTAATAGCAATATCGATGCAATCCGTAAGGTACAAGCATATGCCAAAAAAGACTGATCAATTCCAATCTTAAACATCAATGGAAAGGTGAAAACAACCAATGAAACGGAATAATTATTTGAGCTTTTAGCTTGGCTGAAACATGACATTAATGCTATTTGCCGTATTCAGTTCAATAACATGAATTCAAGACATTAACAGATTGTAACGTTTGTATTCAAGAAATATATACTGCAACTTTTCATACAAAGAACAGTTGACACTGACAACATTGGTTTTCCATAATTATTTCACTATCAGGCTAGTAGACATTTTCTAATGAAAGGAAGAATAATAACTAATTCATTAACTCTAGTTATACTAATTCTTAAAAGTAAACAAACTGTAGGAAATAATCGAAAGATTAAATAACTAGCTGTTAAACTAAGATTTGTTAGTAAAATTCAGACATCAGACAAATAAAATCAAACCTGGTGTATAACCCCATGGTTCATAATATGATGGAAAAACACCTAAATGACAGCCTCGCACAAATTCTTCATAATCCATCGGTAGTAGTGGATTGGTAGAACTTAAGAATTCAGGATGAAAAATAACCTATCAGTTGAAAAAACAAAACACAAATTATATACATGCACATCATACAAAACAGAATTCAGAAATAAAACAGTTATGATACATGATGTCTTTAATATTTTGTAACATCTTATCGACATGACAATGGTTTACCTTATATAGAACAAAATAAAAATGTAAAGTAATAGTTGGGGAAGCCTAAGTAATTTTAGAGTATCAAGAAATATAAGTTTACTGTAGTTAACGATGGGATGGCTTATTTCTGAGCAGTTTCCTCTGGACGTAATAATCAGGAAATCAATGATGGCTTTCAATGTTCCTGATTTTTCACCGAATACACATGGACGTATTCAAGAATACATATTTGATCTTTCAGAACATCTAACCATTATAACCAAAATGGAAAGAGCTGTGAGTATTTCATTAGGCGTAACTGTATATGAAAAAACTGTACCATTTATAAAGTACCTCAAGATGATTTTCAGTCAACTGACTTTCAATATCTTGAAAATTAAAATGGCGTTTAAAAATAAAAACACAATAACAAATGGTTTACTTTAACACGATCATGACGATCATTAAATAACTGACACCGGCGTAAGTTACACAGAACTAGGTCGATATTATCTTGAACAACATTGTGTGTACAAATAGGGGGCAAATTATTTCGTTGTGTTGCATATATACAACGTTTAAGACGAAATACATCACCCTGAAAAACAAATATGAGTTGATTAGATGGTTACATACAAAAAATGACTGTAAAGCAAAATATATACCACAACATCGAAGGAACATGTATAACCATACCTGAGTAAGTATATCAGATCCTTGAGGAATAAGCCCTCGAAGACACACTTCAAATAACCTATGTCCCATTTCACTTTGAATTGAATTCACTGTTTCACGTAGTTGTTTTACAATAGCTTGTGCACGAAACGAATCCACGTTAAAACTATTCGTATGAGCTGGAAAAATGAGGAACGCTACGACAGTGACATCAGTTTGTGCTTGCTAAGACAAAAGAGAAAGAAGTTAAGAGGACTTGTAGTACGATATTCAGTTATAAAGCTCGTAAACAAATTACCTTTGCAAAATGAAAAAGAAACGTTTCATGAATCTTATTGCACATTTTATTAAAATAGTCGGTCGCTTCCAACCAAATAAGCTTCGTGAAAAATCATAAGTTCTTAAGTAATAATGTGATGTCCTAGATATAGTAAATTTTTGACAGTTTGACGATTGTACAAACAGATGTCAAGTTTTAAATTCTCGTGTACTCTTAATGTCGACTCACATATTTTTGCCTAAATAATCCCAGAGAAGAATGGAAAAATTCACCACATACTTAATACATTAATCGTAATACTATGAACATATTTTTCCTTCCGTCTCCATACTTTTTCTTTAAAGTTAGTCTTTTATCTTTAATAATTTTTTTCTTCTTGCACTACTATCATTTTATTGACTCCTGCTGAACAATTCTATTTATGTTTAGGCTCCTATTGCAGCTAACATTATCCACTTTTTCTCTTCTGGTCTTGTTGATTTCTCTATGTCGCAACTTGGATCAATACACATTCGTATCAGGTCTATGATTAACGGACTAATGATAGGAAACTGTTCACATATTGCTATCCTAATATTTTTTCTTAGAAAATTGCATAAAGATCTGGACCGATATGTTGTTGTGGAAAATGCTATAGCGAATACATGATTTTGATAGTTGTATTCATGAGTCGATCTAAGCTAGAACACCACTGAAATTTGGAAGCACCGGACGGCCGTTCCATTCTAGTATGGGACTCCTCAGCAGTGCGTATCCACGATCCCACACGAAGGACTCAAACTCAGGACCTTCGACTTCGCGCGCACGCCTAACCTTTAGACCACTGAGGAGTCCTATACTGGAACGAAATGGCCGTCCAGTGCTTCCAGCTTATCAATGGTGGTTCAGCTTAGATTGACTCGTGAATTCAATTATTAAAACTACTACAATCTCTGCAAATCCCCATTCTGAGAATACATGGTTGTAGAAAAAGAGGCTAATTAGATAAAAACATCATGAGTAAGAATAATAACACTACTTTTTTACTGCATAAATAAAAGATGAACCTGGAGATAAGTAGAAAACATAATGAGATGTATGAAAACATGAATTGGCGACAGTTAGATAATTCCAGGTTGTTTTCGGGCAAACGATTCGAGAAAGCGATCATTCAATAACGGATCCAAAAGTTAATTAAATTTTGGTGGTGAATGCTTGAGAAAATTCCTTCAAATTGTTCATGATAAATCGTAATTTTTATACCTGTTTTTAAAACCAGTAAGCGTATTGCACAATATCTTTTGATTCGTTTTATCACCATTCAAAGACAGAAAGCTGACTATCATCGAGCATTTAAAATGATAAATACTCTGATCTCTTTGTTTTTTTTTTAGATAGACAATTAGAAACATTTAATGACAACGTAAATTATCATCTTCAATGAATGAGTCCAGGAAACAAAATTGCAATGTTTATGATCATACATGGATTTTAGTTTGTTTTAAAATAAATTTAAACTCTATGTCATCCAGAGGTTGAAAATGTCCATTAGGCCGTCAGTTATAAAATTATAAATCGCTTGGAATTGTTATTATTGCAACTAAATTTAATAAACTAATAAGTAACAAAAAGATGGTGAATTGAAACAAAAATCTTCATTATGGATAATATGTATAGTTAAATAACTTTAATATCAACAATACTAGCATACTTTTAAATGATGATTAAGACGAGCCAGTGACTCGATAAATATATCGGCTCCTTTATTCTGGAATTCGTAACGTCCAGCAATGAAAAATACAATGTTTTGTCCAAATCAAAATCATAATGTCTGAAAAACAAATATTATGATTTGGTTAAAAAAAAGTCTTTAAAAATCAACAAAGCTTATTTATCAGTTATGAAGACCATCAACTAACCCATAAAAATGTCCTTGAATAAATTGATTCAGCTTTTCTTTAGCCAATGCATGACGATTTTGAAACTCATGAAGTGCAGCAAATTTAATAACATTAAGACCATTTGGAGTGATGATGTCTGGTTCTCTTCGCAAAAGAAACTTACTTTCCAAGCCAGTAATTTTACTTACAGTTGTAAATACGTGTGCACAATGAACGGCCGCACGTTCAAGACAATAACGATGATAAATATTTCGATCGCCAGCTTCCTGTAAGAATAAAAACAATTAATTATGAATAGTTTACAAGAATTTCTTATTTTCGGACTTTTGATAGTCAGTTAGGAATCGTCTGTCATCTTTTATTCTATATCTTTCTTTTGTGTCATTTTTCATTACTGTTTACTTTCTCTATATATGCTGTATTCAATATTTAATTCCATAATTCCATTAATATTAGGTGTTTAGAAAACGGATACACATCATTCTATAACTGAGAACTACGCTGACGGACTGAAACACCGCACTACAAGCTGTTTGCAGTAATACAAATCGTCACGTCAAAGTTTACGACGGACTGAAATATCAATTTGGAATACAAAACAAAACGCGCCAACAATGTTTTTATTTGATATTTCTATATTTTCTTAGAAATAGCTTTTTCTTCAAGTGATTTTTCAGAGATCGCCTTCATATTTGAAGACTCGCAAATTCTCAAAATAGGCAGATAATACAGTTCTGTTTGATGAAAATTCTCCTAAAATTCAATGTTCTAAAGGCCTTGAATGACAAAGTATGAGAGAAGTCTCTCAAATTAAATATGATGTAACACTTTACAACCAGATAGTTAAGAAGTTTAATTATAGCAATGTTCGAAACCGTAATATTTATATCAAACGTACGGATAAAAAACTTTGGAGCTACAAAAAAGAAGTCCCTACAGATTGCTAATTTATTCCATTTGTAGTACAGATCATACGTTCATTTGGTTTTTAAAGCCCAAGTTCTCTGAGAAATATTTTACTCTATATTTGCTTACAAAAAGTTGAAATGTGGCCTTCAGAAATAGCGTACAGGGATAAGTTAAAAATATTTGGAACATAGATAGCCTTGACAAATTCCTTGGGTATGGGTAGCACCATTGAGTAATACACATGTTTGCCTCAAACTCCTAGTTGGATGTGGCAAGTCTTTTGAAAAGCTTATGACTTGTATGATACATCTCAATGATTTTCTCCTATGCTTAGCTTTGCTAGTTGGGATTGAAGAGAAATATATAAATACACAACGTACATCAGAAGTCTATGAAGTTCTTGGTTAATGATCTGAGTTCAATAAGGACACGTTTACTTCTTAAAGTCCATGAAACACTAAAAAGATATAGCTCAGAATTAGTTGGTGTTCATATGTACCAATCTATTACGTTTCCCCAAAGTTATGAACATTATATCATCATATACCTTTCATTCATCAATTTCATTGGTTAATTAATTTATTTTTTCTTTCAGAAGTTATTTACTATTCTCGGTATTATTATTTTTAGTAATTTGTTCCTTTTCGCTGGTTTATTCCATCTAGACATATGGATATAACGTGCAATAACTTGGATCGATTAACATTTGTAAGAGGTTGTTTATGTCCGTCTATCCGATTTTTACTGATTTTAATGGTATTTTACGGACAGTTTGACCTTGAGTGAGGTTGAAAAGTGCTGGTCAAAGATTTCAAAGTAGATTTAAAATACAAGGAAATTCGTAAAGACAATTTCATTTCGTCACCTCAGAAACGCAATCTTGAAAAGATCTGGATGAAAAATTTAGTTATTAGTCACTGACACTATAATATTCAACACAACATAGGGTTTCATCATAGAAACAGTGCCGAAGCATAACATAGGATCAGTACAACAATGCAAGAGGCAGAAACCCATAGCTTTTTTCGTATTTAAGAAAAATAAGGAAACACTATATGATTTTGAAAATTACTTTAGCTTAGTTTTCTTAAATGATGACTTAAGAAAAATGTATGATGGCTCGTAAACACCACTTTTTTCCGTATGTTTGATGGCGGAGCTGCATTCTCAGTCTCTTTTGTAAAAACGTTCTACTTTGGTAAGTATGATCTAAAATTACGAAATGTTTCTGATCAGGAACATATTTAAGATTGAAGTTACTATAAAACATACAGAATTACAATAACTTGGTTCCATTTTTAAAACCGAGAGATAGATAATTTATTGCAGCTATTCACATAATTTTAAATTATGGTACTAGAATTTATATGCTTAAATTTGAATCATCACTTGTATAATTAAGAGATTTTTTCTACAATATGTATATGTATAATTATCTTGTAAGGTACTTCAGTCACCGAGGATGATTCACAGTTTTACAGCATCCGCCAAACAGTAATTTATTGGTTCGGCCGCTCAGTTGTGGGATAATATGATCAGTGTAACCGTGGTATTCATAATCATACTGGGACAATAGTCCAACATCTCAAACGTGATATCAGTCAGTCAGCCAGCTACAACGTAGGACCAGGCACATATATGCATCGGTCCAGGTTGCCATACCTCATTAGCACAGCAAGATGAACACCGGATTCATAGGAGTGGTTAGGTCAAAGGTGGTAATATATAGGAGAAAGATTGCAATAAGGATATAGTATAGGAAGAAAGAATTAGTTCGTAGAAAGAAAGATATGAAGTGATTTTAATCTCTTAGTTTAAGGGAAGACAGGGAGTGTATACACCGACGCCATTGTGATCGATTCTGAGCCATGTCACCAAGAGTCTCCAACCATTGGTTACGAAAGTCACGCGGACCCCAACCAAGTAGTCTGCATCTACCAACATGGCTCAGACTAGAAGTTAGTGACTTCAGGCACTGATGCCACGTTTTGGTTTGGCCGCCCCTAACTTTCTTCCAACCATCCCCTACACCGGTTAGCATTGCACGTCGTGGTAATCGGTGTTCAGGCATACGTAACACGTGGCCCAACCATCTCAGTCGATGAAGATTCATAACCTCATCAACTGATTTACCATCATTCCCTAATACCCTGCGTCTAACCTCACTATTACTTACCCGGTGATCCCAGCAGATGCCAGCAATATTTCTAAGGCATCTGTGGTCAAATACTAGTAGCTTACGGGTGTCTTCTACTCTTAAGGCCATGTTTCGCTGCCGTAAATTAAAACAGAACGGACTGCCGCGCAGTATACTCGTCCTTTTATTGATAGACGGATATCTCGCCTCGCCAAAGGTGACGTAAGTTGGCAAAAGCCAAACGAGCTTTTCGAATCCGTGCTGAGATTTCGTCAGACACCAACCCATTAGGGCTGATCAGACTTCCAAGATAAGTGAAGTTGTCAACGCGTTCGACTACTTCACTCCCTATCCTTAGTTCAGGTGTTGACGCAGACCAGTCCTGAAGCAACAACTTGCATTTAGAGGGAGAGAAGCGCATCCAAACATTCTGGCATTGTTGCTTAGTGCTACCAGAAGACTCTGCATTTTGTCAGCGTCTTCACCAAACAGGACTATGTCATCTGCGTATTCTAAGTCGATAAGTGGACCTCCTGGAAGGAGATCAATACCCGAGAATTCAGTCGACGAGAGTGTTATTTCCATCAATAGGTCTATGATGAAGTTAAACAAAAATGGAGAAAGTGGACAGCCTTGACGGACACCACTTGAGGTTGCAAAAGTAGATGACAGTTCGCCATAAGCCTGACTCGACTAGTAGTGTTCGAGTAAAGAGCCTTCACAAGGTTTATGTACTTCTGAGGTACGCCTTTCAATGACAGACACTGCCACAGAATCTCGCGGTCTACAGAGTCAAATGCTGCTTTTAAGTCAAGAAAGACCACCATCGTCGGACGCCGATAAGTATGCCTGTGTTCTAGAACCTGACGAATGGTGAATATGTGGTCGATGCAGCCACGACCAGGTCTAAAGCCAGCTTGGTTCTCTCGTGTTTGTAGTTCACGAGTCTTAGTTAGGCGTTGATAATTATCGAGGCCAGTATTTTAGATACTATATTTGTTAAACTAATCCCTCTGTGGTTGTCACAGGATGATTTTGACCCTTTCTTATATATTGGGACGATAAGTGATTGCGACCAGTCAGATGGGATAACGTCTAACTCCCAGATCTTAGCTAAAATATTAGTCAACCTAATCGCTAAAATTGGACCACCATCCTTAAAGACCTCTGGAGCCAATCCATCTGGACCAGCTGCCCTTCCTCGTTTCAGATTAACTATAGCCTTTTGAACTTCAGCAAGAGTTGGGGGACCTACTTCAATGTTCCATTCACACTGTCTGGGAATGGAGGGTAGTTGTAGAGTAGCTGAAGGCCAGCTGAACTGTTCTCTAAAATGTTCCGCCCATCGTTCTAAACGTCTGGACTGGGAGCAGATGAGAGTATCGTCTTTTTCCGAAATAATCTCACTTACACTTGACTTATTAATTCCAGTTTCTTTTATTAGTCTGTAAAGCTGTCTTGTGTTCCCTATAGTCGCCGCCTTTTCCATCTCTTTTGCTTTCGTTGCCCACCACTGCTCACGGTCGTTCCTTAGACTTTTTCTTAACCTAGATCTGATTTGTTGTCGCTCTTCATCATGTTCAGAACCTGATGGGACGAGTTTGCGAGAATCCATCAGTGTGACAGACCTTGAAGAAATCCACTGGTTCTTTGTAACTCTGTGGTTTAAGTCACTAATAGATGTCACTGCTGTTTCCACAGCTGTTTGTATGCTTTCCAAGCAACATCTGGGTCAGCCTCGTCTTCACAACTACCTAAGTGTGACCTCAGTTGTTCCTGGAACCTACTTTTGGTTTTCTCGTTACTCAACTCAGTTCTAATGGGTCTTTTTAATGTGGCTTTTTTGCGTCCAGTGAGGCGCAAGCAGATGCGTGCCCGTATTAGGGCATGGTCGGAGTCCAAGCAGGTACTCCAGAATGAGCGACAATCTTCTACCGACCCTCTCCAACGATGACTGATGGCAATATGGTCTATTTGAGTCCATCGTTGGTTTGGTGTAGGGGGTCGCCATGTTAGACGATGTCTCTCCTTATGCTTAAAATTTGTGTTTGCTAAAAATAAACGATTGTCTGAGCATAGCTGCAGCAGACGATCACCATTATCTGTTCGCTGTGTCGGAATACTAAAATATCCACCTAAATGCCTTTCTGTTTGGTTTAAACTACCTATCTGAGCATTAAAATCACCTGCTACGAGTACTATGTCTGAGCGTTTAGCTTTCTGAAGAAGTTCGGATAGCTTTCTGTAAAATTCATCTTGAGCTGCAGTCAGTGGGAGCGTAGGCAGAAACGACAAAAAGGCAACGACGTGTGTCCCTATCCTTCCGAGTTCTTACGTAGCCGTTTAGCCGAACAGCACATAGACGACTGTTGACGGGGATCCACTCTAGCAGTGCTTGTTCGGCCCTCATGCTTAGTGCTATGCCTACACCTGCCAGTCCACGAGAACTGCCATCGGGTCACCAGATACACGAAGGGTGTATCTCGTTGGCTCTCCGTTTGCCGAGGTGAGGTCAAGTGAATGACCACACTGGAATCCTGTATGCGTGTTTCGGAGACACAGCATACATCAATGGAAAGATTCTAGGGTTTTAGCCAAGGAAGCCTGCTGACCGATTTGACATAGGGTGCGTACGTTGAAGGCTCCAATGTGTAGTTTGGAGCGAGGTTTCAGTAGACCTGGGACAGTGTTTTGAGCACTAGAATCGTTGGCTATGGTGACACTTGAGGGGAAGCCGAAAAAAGAAGTTTAGAGTTGAAAGTCGATGTAGGAGGAATAATAGGAATTGAAGAGGAGGTTGATTATGAATACAGTGGTCTTGAGTGCTGTTAGAGGTATGAGGGCGGTTATCACTTCCCGGTTGCCCACACCGTGGAAGGGTTCTTCTGGAGGTACCTGAAAAGGAAATTGGATTAGAAGTGGTCTTAGTGACCTGAGAGCGTGACCGCAGTGCCCAAGGGACAACTGCTTGAGGTCGGTCACACACGACCTTTTTATGGGTAATTTTTGTGTTAGCTCCGTACTTATTGAGACCTTACCGCCGGAGACGGATATCCGTGGGATAAGGCGAGGTGTGCATTTTTAGGGTCGACCTTTTCTAACCCCACCCCTCCTTGTGGGAAGGCAGCATCGCTGTCATGCTGGTTGTCTGAAGGAAACACCTTACTGCTGTCACACCTCTGTACAGTCAGCAGTACGACTTCGCCTTCGGACCTTGGGTTTGTTGCTTTTAGTCTTACCGCTCTTCAACCGACCTGTCTGACATGGTAGGACCTTGAGGAACGGTTGTTCCAGCCAGTATAGCTCGGTTGCTTCATCACGATAGGCAAGCCCGACCACCACGTCAAGATAGCAACAACGGTCGGGCAAACGTGATATAGTTACTATTTTAAATTCTTTGCCTTCAGTTTCTAAAAATATGTTACACTCGACTGCCAGATCCTCATATCCCTAACAAGCAATAATAGTTTGACAACACATAGATCGAAGTGTTAGTTTGACTATCTATTCCAGTTGCTTTAAGTTAATCCTCTTGTGGAGAAAATAAAACAGAAGAGAATCATGAAATTGCACGACATTAACTTTTAACGATGAAAATGAACATTAGAGTGAACCATTTAGTGGTGAAAAAAATATGCGAAAAACAAGAACAAACCTTATCTAGATCAAAATCCGAAAGATGGTTATATAAATCAACAGAGGAAGCACACAAGTAACGACCCAAAAGTGTTGCATGTGTAGTGAACACAGTAGCAACAGGAAGGTGACGTGTACGCGTAAATACTAAACCAATGCTTGTAAGCCACTCATGAAAGTGTGCAATAATTGGTGGTTGAGGGTCAGTTTCTAGCTCTCTGACATTTTCAGCAAACTAAAAACATAAAATAAAATCACAGTTATTCAGAATTCATGGCAAGCGTGATGAATTAGCTTTGCTGACCTAAGCTACAATGCAAAACGAAGACATATTCAATTGATTACAAATTAAGTGGATATTAGTAGGTATCACCAAAAACAAGTACTAAGAGTAAATTAGACAGATTTGAGTTTTTTTAAAATACTATGAATATAACGAACAAGTAGTTTTTTAATAATTAATAGTTATAGCACAAGAGATGTGAAACATTACATTTTTCGAGCCAATCATTGCTAAGTCGTCGGAATCAATTTTTTATTTGCTGATAGCCACTTATACTTCTTCCTTAAGATCCGAACTGAGTTTTTATGATGTCTAACTACGTTTGACTGGTTAACTATTTAATAGAAAAGAATATATTCTCTTGTTTTGTATTAAGAGGGATCCAGTTGAAACATCATGATTACAGAAATTTGTGAGAACAGAAATGAGGGTAAGACTTAGGGTTTCTTATATAGATATAGTTACTCCTTGAATACAGATTAAGTTGAAGAAGAAATGAAGATGACACAAACATCCGGCCCTGCTTATGAAGGTCACTATGTTTTTACATTTATAACTAACAACATTTGAAAGCTGTCTTCATGCCAATACAAAATCACCTAGTAATATCCGGTTTCCTATCATGAAACGCCACAATCTCACCATTCCTCTTCAACTTTACCATCGATGACATTCTGGAAACAGCTCTGACAAATGTAAGTAGGTTTTCACTCTGGAACACGTACGAGTCAAAATATCAGATAGACAGAAGCATACACACCGTTGTTACGTTATATGTTTTGCACCTTCGAAGTGCAAAGTACTTCTACAAGACTGATAGGATTCTAATCCTATTTTCACCCTGGATGGTGAACAGATAAAAGTAGTCGAGAAGTCCGTGCATCTAGGTAGCTGCATAAGTGCTAGTGGTGGCCTGAGTGATGGGATAAATTCACGTATAGTGGAAGCCAGAGCGGCTTATGCCAATCTAGGCCATCTTTGGCGCCTTCGTGATGTCAGTCTGGCTGTAAAAGGTCGATCTACAACGCGTCGGTGAGAGCACTTTTACTCTATGCTTGTGAAACCTGACCTCCCCGAGTTGAGGACGTTAGAAAACTCTCTGTGTTTGATCATCGTTGTCTCCGCAGGATTGCTGACATCCAGTGGCAACACCATGTTAGTAATCCAGAGGTTCGGCATCGTGTGTTCGGGCACAGAGACGATAATCCGATTGGTGTCACCATCCTTGAAACATCGAATCCGGTGGCTTGGACATGTCCTATGAATGTCGTCCAGAGAATCCCACGTCGTGCATTATTTGCCGACTCTGGGACTGGTTCGAAAAAGCGGAGAGGTGGTCAGTGTATGATACGGTGTCGGGGTATGAAAGAAAGTTGCAAAGGGTTGGCTTCTGTTGGTCCTTCACAACTCCCTGGCTGGGGTCCGAGAGATGGTGCAACACAGTGGCTAGAGACGTCATCAGATATGGTTCAGAATAGAAACCAGTGGCGATCCTGCTGTGACCTTCTTTTACTTTCTTCATAAAAAGTGGTTGTATCTTGCTTAACTGAAAGAATTCTTTCTGGTTGTACCTTTCCGTTTCCCACATTATTATTATTGTTATCAATATTTTTATTATTATTACTACATTACCTTACACTAATCTGTGGTCGTTATTGTTCTTCTTTTTTCTCCTTATACGCACCTTACCTCCTTTCTTCTCTTCACATTCTCATTGTTTTGTGTGGCGCATATATATTTGGTGCCCCCTTGTATCAATATTTGTGTGTTCAAATAAATAATCTACCATTACGATTAATGCATGACATTATCCATACATACATTAATTTTAGAATAGTAAATAAGAATTTCGTAAACTAATCAAAAAGCCTTAACAATAAACACCGTATAAAAAGAAACAAATATTGTTAAATCGTCTTCAGTATTTTATAAAGAACTGCTCATTAGCTTCGTACAATCCGTAAAAGTGATTACCTGAATTATTTCCATTTTTCACGATGCGTAGTAGATCTGTGAAACAATGTTTATTTCTAGTGTATTCAGAAATCCTTACTAGAAAGTTAGTTGCAAGATTCAAAACCTGAGACAGACTTCAGTGACAGTTAGTTAACTAATATAATTTCAGAAATATGCATCTACAAGCATGTTAGGCAATAATATAAACCAAGCCATAGTACTTTGATCGATAGAAAGATGGGAAAACTTCAAAAATCTTGTAAGAATCATCAATTCATAAGTCACTTTAGATTCTGTGAATAAGATTATTGTTACCATTTCTATCACAGTCGGTCTGTGACTATTTAAAAGTACCTCCTAAATGTTATCAGTCAGTCATTTGTAACGTACAGCCTGGAATTTACATGAATCAGTAAAAGTTGGTGTATCGAATCAGCACAGAGATGAAACCACCACAAAACCAAAATAGAATTTTTATCAGTGACAGTAAAACGACATTAGACAGAAACTTTAATCTGAGGAGAGTGAATAAATTCACAATGTAAAACGATATTGAATAATTTCCGAACCTATAATCTAAAGGAAGATAAATAGTAAATATACTTACGTCACTGCTGCCGATTCTGAGCCATGCCACAAAACATCACAAATGACTGTCTACTACGCATGTGTAGACCTCAACCGATAACCTGCAATTTTCAACATATCCTAGTCAAGAAGTCAATGACTTCATGGACCGATGTTACATTTGGTTTGGCCGTCCCTAGCTATCTTCCAATCCACTCCCCATTCCAATCAATATTGCTTAGTGACAACACATTTTACATTATATAAGCTTTATCTAAACCTAATTAGTAACATCAATTCGTTTGTGCAGAATCACACAGCGTACATGACTAAAATTTTCAGATTTCTTACTGATACGGTGAAGATAATCATATATAATGAACTTCAATCTAATACAAATTCACTAACTTCTTTCAGAAACCAGGCAACAAGTGCTCCAAAGATGACGGCATCATTACACTCAGTATCATGGACCGGAATCCCAATATTACAAGATTCCCACAGTTCTTTTTTCCAAGAATCGATGCGCCAAGCTGATGATCCTATGTCAAACAGAACAACGTTGGGATAGCCCTCAATAAGCCACCGACCAAAAACTACCTGTAAACAATGGGTAAACATTGAATGGAAATATAGAAAAAATACATGACTACTTACATAATTATTCTTAAAATTGATTTTCAAGTGTGGACGTAGTGGCTAATTTACCTAAAAGTTATTTGTTTTAAAAAGGGACTCATTGACTCATAAAGCCGTTTGAATATTCATGTAGACTACTTTGGACGTTAACCCAAATAAGTGGTTTATCTATTTTACCAAAATCTAAGATAATCACTCGAATACAGTGCAGATTTAAAAAACTAGTTTGTAAAAGGAAGCCTTTGACAAGATCTCACGCTCGCAGAGTTCATAACCCTCTGACAGAGTTGACTTAACTGGACAAGGTAATACATAGACACACTAGTATTAGAAGTAATTGATTGCCTAATATCTATAAATGACCTGAAGAGTAAAACCGAAGCAGTTAAGTTAAATTACATAATTACACATAAATAATTTTGAGGAAATTTAGAGGTAATTATAATTCTTCAAATTATCACCTGCTTTAACGAAACTGTCAAACCTATAATTCCTATGTTAAATAAAACACTACAGGGCAAACCAATTAATAAGGCTACATTTATGAACAGAACGGTGACTGAGGAATAATCCATATATTCTTAGCTTAAACATTAATAGTTTGAATTACCAACGTCAATGGGATACTTTTATAAAAACCAAAACCTCTCAAATCAAACAAAAACTGATAGAACTTAAGTTCCAAATGTAAAATGACACGATGTCCATTCATTCAAGGAAAAAGGATAGGATCATACACACAGGTCTCTTTATAACCTTAAAGATCTCCCTACTCAAGATAAGAAAACGAATGTAAAGACAATATAACATCAAAATGAATCAACAAATCAAAGTATTCTGATAAAAATATATAGATCTCAGTAATAGCATATAAAATCATGTCTAAAGGAAGAGAAAAATTTTGTTAAAAAGTCTAGAGTAATGTGATGAAAGTTTCAACTGAAAGCAGAAAGAGGCGTCCGATAACAATGTGTAGGAGCCATTATTCTTACATACTGGAAATCTAAACGAACATCAAAAAATCAATTTATTTGAGTAAGTTTAATACAAGAACTTTAGCCTCTTTATAAGGAACTTCGAAAAATTGAGAGTAAGATTATTTACACATTTTAGCGATATCAGGTCAGCTGAAATGATGGAAGTGAGTTATCTAGTGACATCTTTACTGAAATTTAGCCAACCCATTCCAAATTTTCAAAATTTATAATTCATCTTTGTGTTTATTCACAATAAACAACGCAAATCCAAATTCGATATGATGATCAACAGTGATTTTATGCTCTTATTTTCTACCTTCTAACTGAAGTTAGGCGTTCAAGTTTGCACAAGCAATTTTCCTTTAAAGAGTCATCAGAAGAATAGTTTACATTCACATTTATTTAGTCATATAATAATTAATTCAATGTCAAAACATCTTGTCAATTTATTCTGTTAAAATCTCTTCTCATTTCAACAAAATCGTATATTCTATAAAATTCCTCATTCAATGGGCTTGAGGATGATAAATATTCTTTGATCTTGGAATCTGAATTGAGTTCTCAATAAGTTGTGTTTATCGAGCCTTCAGCCTTGATCTTTAGGTAGGTTATACAAATTCAGGGCCACTCTTATAATGATGATTTCCGAGATCTTGCAGTTTCGCGGTGTCAATAAAAGGAATACGAATACCTTGAAATTTTGGTATGTATAGTGATGAAACTTTCTTACGATTATTAGACATTCAGGAGCTTGAAATGAGAAAGATGAACAACAAAACTGAATTAGCTTAAAAGTGATTATCTTGTCAGTCGGTTCTAGATATAAAATGAAACAAGACTAATCCTCAGAACAAAAAAACTAATGGCTAATCACATATACTACATTTCAAGCATTAGGTAACTTTACATACCGATTGCATGATTACAAATCATCTCACTTTCGCACCAAACAAGAGAATTACAAATGATTTCCTATTATGAGTTCGACACTATGAACAAATTTCATTTGCGATGACCAAGAACAAAACTGCTTTGTAAACAACCAGATAAGCAATATTAGGCAACATTTAATAAGTAGCTAATGAAATATTGTTAGTTTTAATAACAGCTTAGCAAATAATGATGAGCTTTTAACATACATGTGATTCTGCAAACAACTTTAACTGGACAGATGACCACATAACTAAGCACAAAGTCAGTACGGTTTAATATAATACATTTTCAAGTGCCACATTTGTTGAAACAATTTTCCATGAACACCAGGTGAATAAGTTTTCAGTGAACAAAACTCTTATGGTCAAAATAAACTTTCCACATAGACAAATAATTCTTCGTTGATCCAGTAAATGTACATACTTAACCATAAGTGGAGTTTGTGGCATTATTATAGTTTTATTATCTTTCATTATATTCTAAAATATCAACTATTTCAAAGTGATGTTCCCGAATAAAAATGATTTGTGATAGGTTAAAAACCATTTAGACGAAATCAGGCATTAGTCTTTAAAATAGAATTGAAAGGTAAGTATAAGACTTTATTTTTAAATAAGATAGTGTCTATGGTGGTAGTTTCAGGTAAGACTAAAATATATGAACAAACCAATCAAATTTAAGATAAGAGGCTTTGAATTATTTGGATAAATAAGGTTTTGGCATTAAAGTCGATATCAGTTCGTGGTGAAAACCATAAATCTAATTCTTAACCCTATCTACCAACTGTAAATATTAATTCTGATTCCTCACACTAATTTATAATCCTCATTTAGCCTTAATATGTAGGTGGATATTCTTATGGTCTTTTCAGCGTCTTTCAGAAGTCGTCTATGAATTGTAGTCTCACCGCGTTTCATATTTAGAGAACCTTGGATAATTATGAGTTTCGTACTTCTCTATGCGACACAACTTATATAGGATTATAATGCACAGGATAACCAGCTGAATTGGAAACTATTTTAATTGTACGGACTTCAGAATATAATAGCTATAAGTCATAGACATCGATTATGTAGAGCTATCTCAAGAGAATCAGCATAACCACCGAATAACTAGAACATAGGAATAGCTTTTTCTCGGACAGCAGATAAATCATACCGAAATTCACTCACTTTTGTGCCATGTTCACGCATGGCTTTAACAGTACGCTTCAATGCCTCATTTGTTGGTTCTGCAACATCTACTTCAGTCCTCATGCATACTTCATTAAGTGGGCCAAATAAAATATAACGGTCACCCAACTCCTCTACAGCAGATGCAGCCTTAGTACGGATGACAGTATATATTCCACCAACTAGAAGAAAAAGAGTGACAATCAATGAAGTCATTTTGATAAAGTTAGAAATAAAATATAAGAAACGTAATACTGACAAACTTTGACCTTTATTGACCACCTCCCAAGCAACTTCGAAAACATATTTGCGTTGGTATACTTCAGGGTTTATTGATTGTATCAAGTCATCAGATATCAATGAGTCTCGATTATACCGAGCAACACTTGCTTTCCTTCCAAGAGTTGACATAATTCGCGCGATGCGTTCGTGACCCCCTAAATTAACTCTTTCAAGTTTAGTAGCGTATTTAAACAAACTTATTCAACGAGTTGCAATTTAATGAAGCACAGATTCTTTCAATACGAGCTATCATTCATTTGTGTCCTTTGTTAACCATGACTATATTTCCGAATTTACCTGGTGGTTGATTACAATGAACTAGATTATTATTCCGTTATTAATGGCATGGTTTTCGATATGGTGAATAGCAATAGTTGTAGTAACGCAATTAAAGGTGAATTTGAAGCTCTGTTTCACTATATAGAGTTAAAAAGCGTTTAAATCTTTAATTTCTTCGGACGAATCACTTTTGAAACCATCAGGTTGCGCTTCTTTTTGGGGATCAAGTCTTTCTTATCAATTAAAAGACTTAAGGGACGAGATCAGTGCACTCGATTATACAGCGTACGGTTTTGGTTTTTGAAGTCATTTACTGTCGGACGTTTTTACTGCCCTCTGATGATTTTTTTAGAGTCTGTTTGTCATTGTTTACGTGATAACAGGAGTAAATCTAACGTATGGGTTTCGTGGGATGGTGAAGATCTCAGAAACTTTTTATTTAAGAAACGAATCATAAAGAGGAGCTGCTACAGACATTATGGGACTTTACTGTTACGTCATATAGATAAAATGGTCAAATAACTCCAAGCCAATTATGCTATACTAGGTCTAGTAGTTAAGTGGAACTGGTAGGTAATTCATATCTACCTTAATCACAAAGCCTACAAGACCAACATTTTCGTCTTAGTGAGGTATCTCTCTGTCCACTTTGTCAGTACTTCTTTTACCTCACCAAAATCCCTGATGAAAACATGCTACATCTTTGCAGTCTGACATTTACTCCCCCAACTGGTAAGGTGTCTGTTCCTGAGGCTGAACGGTTCCTAAGTTGTCCTATATTATGTCCTCCTAGTTTTAGTTGTGTGTTATCCATGCGCACCTTTTTAACAGCCAAATTGACAGATACAGGACCATGTCTATATGAAGAACTAGTAATTTACGTCGACATTGAATTTATGACTCAAACAACTTTGAGGAGGATATTCATTAGTGCGACTATTAGGTTCTGCCGTAGTTTTTCTCCAAAGAAGGCTTTCTGAAAATCTGTTTCTCATGAAATGGCAAACAATAACGTCATGAATCGATATGCATTCTTAGAACTGATTTATCTTTATTACTAGGTTGTTGCTAAAATTTTTGCTTTCGTAGTTCATTTTTAATAGTTTATAGTACTGGCGTTCACATTTAATGGTTAACCTAATGAATCCACAACTATTGGTCGACATTTATGAGTAGGTCTATGCAACTTCGAAAGTGGCATGTTGCTACGACTAAATTTATATGGCCATACACCTGTTATATCAGTTGCTATCTTGAGTTACCATGTAGTGGGAGTCAGGAGTATCATTTCGTATAAACCTTTAAAGATAAAACAGTCTTATCAGAAGAAGGCTATACATAAAGAGAAAACAAAACGGCGTATCTTTGAGGGCTGTTTCAGTCATGGTTTAATGTCGACTTTGATATTCCTTATTTGATCCTTTGTGTTTAGTCACAATAAACAAAGATTTTATCTTTTCTCGAACGGATTCACAACAGACCATTATGCGAAAATTTTCTTAAAATTTAAGGGACGTGGCGAAATATTTCTGACATAATTAACGCATTGTTCTGATACGTTTGTGCACTATGCCAATTATCTGCAAATTAGATTCAATGTGATTATCAACAGCGATTTTATACTAACTGAAGTGAAGCGTTCAAGTTTGCACATAGGATTTCTCTATGAAGAGTCATCAGAAGAAAAGTATACATTCACGTGTATTTAATCATATAATAGTCAATAGCTTTCGACGGCTTCAGGGTGATCAGTTTGCTCTGACTCCGAGTGGAGACCCACCATTGCACCTCTATGGGTTAAAACTCACAACGAATCTTAATTGAGTGAGCCTGGGAGAGAGATGTCTCACAGTCCCCACTTTAAAGAATAATTACAATACGCACGTCATTTTCTAAGGTCATCAGTATCTTTCGTCTGAGTATAATATGTAGTATTGATCGTTTATTTAGGCATCAAGACTACCGTTTTCACTTTAGATGAGTCTAATTCAGTTAAATTAATCTCGAAGAAGATGGCCTTTTTACTAGAGAACTTTATCACCTCTACTTTCTGAGTACAGATACAAAAATGGGCACAGGTATTTTTCTTCATTGATTATATAGCTTATTATTGTTAGTATTCAAAGATTTTAACTTTTTGTACCAAATGAAGTCAGATTTTTTTACTATTCTTGTTAAGTACAGTAATTCACAAACCTCCAATTTTCCTTATATCACCTACCAAACTTTAAAACACTTTTTCTAGACCTTGGTTTTCGTTGTTGTTTTTCCAAAGAGATCACAAAACAATCTTACGGAGCGATTGAAACATCTTTGTGGTTCACCTGAATGCTATTTCACAGTCGATGATGGTGTGCAACGTGGCAACTGCAATTAGTGGTATCACAATATACTTGTAGAACTATGTATCGCATCAATTACCAACACATGATGAACAAGGTTAGGCTAGAGAAAGAACAATATATTTAATATGAATAGAAGATATAAGGTAACATTCAGCAGAGACCACGGCCGCATGGCCGAGCCATGCCACTCGACCAACTCCAGTCCATTCAATTCATTGTCGCGCCTTCTCCATTGTTAGGTATTTCTCCGCGTTAAATATTGAATATCTATTTTCTGAGTAGTCTCGTGTATACAGCTTTGTGGATTGTGTGGCTGTTGTCCAATGCCACTACATACTCAACGGTCTCACACAAGTACCTCAACCTGTTGAGAGGGTGGCACATTATTCAGGGACATGTGAACTGGTACTTTACAGGCTGAAATGTGGATGGAAAGGTATTAAATTAGTTGTAGTAAACTGCAGTCAACAATGTGTAGTAGATGACTCTATCCTAAGCAAACTTACGTCCTGGTGTAATGGGAGTAAGATCTCTTCGAAGGTGACTTTATGGACCGTATATCGATTGAGAAATCTTAGAATTAGGGGCACCAACAATGTCATTTGATTGCTAATTGTTATAAACTACAATATCCCTAGCTTTATTCCATAAAATTAGAGTTCCCACCAAATATGACGCAGGAACCTCCTCATTTCTCTTTGGCTTGGTCTTCACACTCGGTGATGATGTCCGTCAAGTGACTTTCCTCCTACCTTCAAAGAGAAGTGATCATACAATCATCGTTCTCAAGTTTATGACTGAGATAGCCTGTCAAATAGATGCGCCGGAACGTCCTATTTTACGGAAGGTGAACATTGAGGCGATAAACTCTTCAGCATCGGCTGTAAACTAGATGATATACTTCGTGGCATCAGTGGTCGATGCATAGACTCATTCCCGGCAGTTGTACAATCAGGTAACTCGACAACACATACCCTGTACTGTCCCAAAGATGAAGAAGCGCAGCCATTCCTGGATGGGCCGGGATATTTGACATTTACTAGAACAAAGTGTTGTAACGTTGCTATCAATCTAAGCACGACAAGTACTATTGTTGGGATATTCAGGAAAATATCCCAAAAATTATTCTATTAAGTCTAATGCTATTCTTGGACTTGAGATGATATCATTTTCCTATTGGTCGATATTTATTTCGTGTCATTTTTCTGTTGACCAAATATTGTACAAATGTTATTTTCTATTTTATGGTTCGATGTGGTCTACTTGATTGGTATATAATCAGAGTATGTTTGAAATACATGATTCATATCGCAGAGGCCGAGACTTGTGTTCTGGACTTAACTAGCTGGGCTAGGCGGAAAGCAGGACCAACCAGAACTCTAGGCTGCTCATACGGTTCACGCGTCATTGTTCCGATCGATAATACGCTGCCGTCCAATCTGCAGTCAAGTTATAACAACTATGGTCGATTAGAAATAAATTCATAGTTAAAAACCTGGGAAGTACAGAGAAAATATGAGGTTCAGTTGGTGCAATCTATAATAAAGCACTCTAAGAGACTATTCTCGTACATAAATTACAGAATAAGGATGCAGCCTTGGATTCACAACCCAATTACGAGAGGCAGTGCATGTGAAGTGATAGAGCATGATGAGAAAAATGCACAGGCTATAGGAAATAATTTCATGGCAGTTTTCACTCAGGAGCCTCTTCTGGACGAAGAACTATACCAAAATACATACCTAACAAACCATCTGCTCACCGTGAACTTTGTTCAAGATGATGTAATCAAAACTCTTAGCACTTTGAACACCGAAAAGTCAACAAGAACGGATGAACCACACCCGGAAATCCTGAGACGGATTACATAATATATTGCAGCACCACTGACTGGATATTCAATATATCACTTGGCTAACATGTGCTACCCGCCGACTGGAAAGATGAAATCGTCACTCCAGAACGTTGAACAGGACCAAGACAACTTTCATCAAACTACAAATCTGTCAGCTTCACCAGTGCCATAGTTAAAATACTGGAAAGAATAGTTGGAAAGACCGTAAAGGCGTTCGTGGAAAATAACAACTTGTTAAACAGAGAACAACATGGCTTCAGAAAGGGTTGATCTTGCACAACAAACCTCCTTGTAGCAAGGGAGCAATGGATGAAGTCTCTAAACAATGGCATATCAACGGATGTTGTCTATTCAGTCTTCAGCAAAGCATCTGATAGGGTGCCAACAAATACTGTTATTGAAATTAGAAAACCTTGACATTGCCGGACCTCTCATAAAAAAGCTTCAGGATTTCCTAGTGGGACGTAGACAAAAGTAAAAGCGAATTCGAGGTGCTCCACTTGGTGACTAGTACTTAGTGAAGTACCACAAAGTTCTGTCCCATGTCCTTCACTTTTTACACTGTATGTAAGTGATTTCATGAGTATAGTTGGGTCTCCAATGTTGCTATAGGCTGATGTGAAGATATGGTTAGAAATAATAGAAGACGCGGGTGCATGCGAACTTCAGGCAGACATAAATATTGTGATCAGCTGATATAAAGAGTGGCTGATGCTTATCAACGCGGCGGTATGTCTACATACACTTTGGGGATACAAAGGTAGTAGATACAGCATAGAGGAAGTGCCTGTACCCGTGGTTTGGTCCCACAAGGATCATGGGGTGACAGTTAGTCATGATCATAATACCAAGGCCCACTACCAGGAGGTTTCATATATGGCTTTTAGAAAACTATGGACAGTTAGACATTCACCAGGTTAGATACTACAATGTTCACTAAAGTATACACAGTCATGTGAAAACTTAACTTGAAAACTGAGTTCAGGCTGCAATTCCCTGTTTGAAAAGTAACTTGGATATCCTGGAAAGAGTACAGATGGAGGCTATCCGTGCAATTCCAGACTCCAGGGCTTACCGTAAATGAGCGGCTTGAAAAGCTAGACCACTTTTCTCTGTCGTAACGCAGATGAAGAGATGACTTGATTTTGATATATAAACTATCAAGGAATGTTTTTGGATACGATATATTCTCTCTTTTTCTTCTCACTATATCCGGACATCTCAGAGTACATGACAGGTGAGTAGAAAAGCTAAGAACGAACATAATAGTGGTGGTATACAGGTTTTTACAATGAGTCAACAATTCGTGGAACTTGCTATCCAAAGTAGTGGTGCCCGCGCCCTCAAATGACTCGTTCTAGAGAAAGCAAAATATTCACAGTAGCATACTAGAAAAGGAATAACACAGGCCGTCGGCCTTCTGTCCTTCCTACACAGATCTGGAAACATTTTGTCGATTTATTCTGTCTAAATCTCTCCTCATTTCAACAAAATCGTATATTCTATAAAGTTCCTCATTCAATGGGCTTGAGGATGATAAATATTTTTTGATCTTGGAATCTGAATTGAGTTCTCAATAAGTTGTGTTTATCGAGCCTTCAGCCTTGATCTTTAGGTAGGTTATACAAATTCAGGGTCACTCTTATAATGATGATTTCCGGGGTCTTATAGTTTCGCAGAGTTTTGAATTATTTACTGTAAACGAACTGGACTCATTTGTCATATATAAAAATAAATATTTAATGGCTGTTTCGAAATTGGTATTTCTGATGCACAATGACTAGTAATCATAAGCCTTCTGGTGATAACTATATGGATTCGATGTGTATAGGAATTTCAAAAATATTGCATCAGAGTCATTCTGACGAGAATCCTTCATCTGTTGATGTTTCACGTCCTTCAGTTTCTAACGATATCGATAGTGACCCATATTTCCAAATTCACGAGGCTTCACGCACTACTGGAATGTTAGACATTAATCCGAAATGTATGGTGAAGGATTCTAAACATGGAATTCGTCTTAGCAGTCGAAGACGCGGTTCAGATATCAGCAAAAAGGCTGTCTTTGTCCAACCTCATGATGGAAAGTTGTTCAAAGTTGTGTCAAAGCACAGTATGAAGAAAGCAAAACCTCCCGTAAGTTTTGTATAATTCTTGCTGACCCTTTGTTACCTCAGTCCGCGTATACGAAATTTTAAAAAACGTGGGATTTATCACTTTTTATATACATTTTTGTCTGATGGAATGTCGATCTCGACAAATACTTCTTTTAGGGTGGGTAACTTACCAACGGCTTTTGCGGCGAGACTAATTTATGGACGAATTAATTAGAATAACGGGTGAAACTCTATTTTATGACGACCTTTGAACGTATTTTTAAGTGACCTTGAGAACATTAGCCAATCAGAAGAGAGTTAGTATAAAATAAAATATATTATAAAAAAGTGATGAATTACAATGGATATTCTTCTTTTACATGTTTAAGAACTTGTTGAGGTTTGATAAAGGTTCAGAAGTTTTGAAATCATAGTGCATGCGGTATAAGAACTCGTCCATATGACTCCATAATAATCGTCCTCTGGAGCCGTGGTAGGGTCTTAAAAAATACTTCAGCCTAGACCACATGCCCTCAATGTTGTTTGTATGGACTCCCGTCGTTGGATCAACAAAATGACGTTTGTGCACCACAACATGATGCACAAAACCAAGTCTCGAGAGGCATCTATACGCTTTCCAATCATCGGTATAGATCGTCGTGCCAGGCTGAACGTACTCCTTATGATTGGTATGATTGTCGTTACCTGACGGTTTCTTACTCTTTGAAAATGTCCTTTTGAGTTGAACGATCGTAAAACCCAAGTACCTGTCAAGTAGATTCACGGAAGTGCTACTTACCCAATCTTCTTTGATATAACGTCCTTTATTGTATTTTCGCTTTCTAACTAGCGCCTCATCTATTTCCACTATCTTTCCAACTCCTCCAAATGATTCATGTACTCGTGTCATTTTCATTGCGCATATATCACGACAATATTCATACCACTGAACGGCGGAAGTTTCCGTAACATCTGCAAAAGCCGCAGCTAATGTTACAGGAGACTTTATGATCCAATTTGCAACGATTATCATGATTTGTCTAAGCCTTAGCCGTGACCGGGCAAAAAAAGTGCCAGTTCGAGCAGATTTTTTTCTCCAACATATAGTACAACAAAATACAATGTCATCGCGGTAGTCTGCACATCGTGCTGCAGTCATTTGATTTCCGCAGTCACAGACACAGGAACTTCTTAATAGTCCCATCTGCTGTAGTCTCTCAACGATCACCTCTTCTCTAAAATCTGCTGTAAAGCGATCGAATGTGAGCATCTGGCATTGAACTCAGCGCCGTGACCTTGAAACTCCTTAAACGCTTCTGATTGGCTCGTCCATAAATTAGAGTCCTACCGAATAACGATAACGGGTCTTCGACTCGAAATTCCTTTATCCATTTGGCTAAATAGTGTCTTAGCATTTTAGCTAATGCCATTTCGTAATGAGAACCCTGAGTCTAATCTCTATCCCTAACCATCAAATGTAAATCGCAATCCTTATACTTCACACAGACTTATAACCCTTATTTAGCCCTAATCAGTAGGTGGACATTCTCAAGGCCACTTTTGGTGTCGCTCAAAGGTCGTGCATAATTATAGTCTCACTGCTTTTGTTTGCACTTACAAGGTCGTCTGTTCATTGACTACGGAAATATTTTAATAGCTTTGATGGAACGTTTCAAATACTATATCTAATATGTGTTAGACTACATATGTAATATAAGGATCGAATATTTAAGAAATGATGGGACAGGTTCGAAAAGTAGGGATTAAGATGGTAGAAACTCATCATTGTTATTTCTGTAAGGCGAAACCAAAATGTTGGAATCTCCAGAGGTTGAAATGGGCGTCCAATAAATTCATATGTGGAAGCAGGAGTTATTATATCTTTATGTTGATATATACGGGGTAAGTTTGAACAATTAATGTGGTAGGCAACTGGAAGATCAGTGCTGACCACATATTCGACCCTTACAACTGAATTCCGGAATATCACTTCGTAATGTTACTGATTAGTAGTTAATGTCTGAAGTGTGAACCCGTGATTATCATTTGTTAGTTAGAACTGTTTAATTAAATGTTTACGATGTACTATACTAGGTCCATATATAGTTTTTCACTCTGGAACACGTACGAGTCAAAATATCAGATAGACAGAAGCATACACACCGTTGTTACGTTATATGTTTTGCACCTTCGAAGTGCAAAGTACTTCTACAAGACTGATAGGATTCTAATCCTGTTTTCACCCTGGATGGTGAACAGATAAAAGTAGTCGAGAAGTCCGTGCATCTAGGTAGCTGCATAAGTGCTAGTGGTGGCCTGAGTGATGGGATAAATTCACGTATAGTGGAAGCCAGAGCGGCTTATGCCAATCTAGGCCATCTTTGGCGCCTTCGTGATGTCAGTCTGGCTGCAAAAGGTCGGATCTACAACGCGTCGGTGAGAGCACTTTTACTCTATGCTTGTGAAACCTGACCTCCCCGAGTTGAGGACGTTAGAAAACTCTCTGTGTTTGATCATCGTTGTCTCCGCAGGATTGCTGACATCCAGTGGCAACACCATGTTAGTAATCCAGAGGTTCGGCATCGTGTGTTCGGGCACAGAGACGATAATCCGATTGGTGTCACCATCTTGAAACATCGACTTCGGTGGCTTGGACATGTCCTACGAATGTCGTCCCAGAGAATCCCACGTCGTGCATTATTTGCCGACTCTGGGACTCTGGACTGGTTGAAAAAGCGGAGAGGTGGTCAGCGTATGGCACGGTGTCGGGGTATGAAAGAAAGTTGCAAAGGGTTGGCTTCTGTTGGTCCTTCACAACTCCCTGGCTGGGGTCCGAGAGATGGTGCAACACAGTGGCTAGAGACGTTATCAGATATGGTTCAGAATAGAAACCAGTGGCGATCCTGCTGTGACCTTCTTTTACTTTCTTCATAAAAAGTGGTTGTATCTTGCTTAACTGAAAGAATTCTTTCTGGTTGTACCTTTCCGTTTCCACATTATTATTATTGTTATCAATATTTTTATTATTATTACTACATTACCTTACATTAATCTGTGGTCGTTATTGTTCTTCTTTTTTCTCCTTATACGCACCTTACCTCCTTTCTTCTCTTCACATTCTCATTGTTTTATGTGGCGCATATATATTTGGTGCCACCTTGTATCAATATTTATGTGTTCAAATAAATAAATATGCACACCGTACGACCTAGTAGGTTGGCGTGTGTATTCCTGATGTATCCTACATTCAGACGAAGGTTTTGTGATCCCTGGCTTCCAGCGTTTGTCTAACCAAGACCAATCAATAATACAGACTATCTTAAGACACATATTTCCTTGCCTACAAACCTTATAACAGGCGATGGTTGCGTTTCGTAGTTTCTGCTTTACCTTTTGTACCTACGGCTAACTATGTGCACATATTCTCGAGTTTTGAGAGAACGATGCATCATGAAGGGAAACAAGTATTAACTTTTTAAATTCAAAGTCTCATAGAGATGAAAAGTAAAGCGCATCGTTACATCATACTACAATTAGACTTCTTAAATTATGGAAGATATATTTGCATAATATTTTTATCATTTCAGCTGTTATTCCGAAGTTATTTATCCTTCTTGTTATCTCGTCTTTAGTGGCTTGGAACAATGTTCTAGTTAGAGTTATTTCCAACCAAGTTTTGTAGTCGTGTACCTAAACTCAGGAAACATAAGGTAGCGTCCATTGTGTAGAGTTGTTAAATTCTAGCGATTGTTTCATAACATTTTGTCAAAGCATTTTATCTAAACAGTCAATGCAACCATCAAGTCCAATTTGAGCCTTTCAAAAGTATTGTATAGTATATTGTGAGTCGACGCTAATTTGTGTATTCATGTGACTATTTTTTCATCATGTTTCAGGCCTAAATCAGATTTTTGTAAATACCGATCTCTTTTTGTTTCAGGATATTAGCAAGGAAGTTGCTCAATGTCGAGAGTCCCATAACGACTACCTTGACTTTTCTAATATGAATCTTCAACAGATTCCAAATGCAATTTTCAAAGATTTATCCTTTATAAAAGATTTATTTCTGTATGGTAACAAATTAACCACACTACCAAGCAGTATCAGTCATTTGACAAATCTAAAACGACTGCTATTGCAACAAAACTGGTTAACAGCATCTGGCATACCAAATGAAATAACGAAACTGACTAATCTGGAACAATTAGATCTACGTTACAATCGTTTGGATGGTCCTCTTCCTACATGTATATGTGGTTTATATAACTTGGAACATTTACTTCTCACATACAACAAATTAACCCATATTGTAGACGAAATAAAATATTTAAAAGTGAGTTATTCGTTTCACCTACTTGTTTTTATTGAGTGTAGCTTAACAATTAGTTTGAAAACTAATCTTATGGTTTACCCTGTGGGATTAATATGTGATTACGGACTTCATATCTTATCGGTTTCGGAATGTTGCTATTAAGCGATATAGATAAATTTACACGTAAAGTTGGGTGTCTAAATATTCTAAGCCAAAGTGATTTCTTCCATACACAGGTTATATTATTATTTTTTGGTATTAAACATGTACAGTTTGACGATTTCGCATCAATTCATCCACTGCCCAAATATGAAACATCCGCAAATCTCACTCATTTGTATATATATAACTACTATATGTCCTTTAGTTTCTATTACATACCGTGTGGGGATTCTAGAACTACAAAATCCAAGCTCCGTGTCGTCAGTTTTATCATTTTTTGCTAATGTTTTCGTTCATTAGTTAGTTTCGCAGCATTTTTCCGCTCATTTAACTATCGTATAGCAGTCATAATTTTGCTATTAGTTTAATAAGGAAGAACAGTACTGTTGATATTTACTATCAACCAAGACTATGCGTAAAGTTGCAAATTCACACTCATTGTGAAGTTGGTACATACCGTTAACTTTTATATTAATGGGTTGACTCAAACCTTAGTGCATAAATCTGCATAGGACTTCTGGTTCCACAGTAAGATACATTACAAAGTAAGCCAGAATTTTAACGTTTTCGATAAGTCGCCTTATAAACAACACTAAAAAGTTGTCATTTTTCGATATTTATTTGTTCGTTTCAGCGCTTATCTGTATTGGTTGTAAGCCGTAATTTGATTCGACAAGATTTGCCTAGTTCTATCGTGAACTAACGAAATTGGTAAAATTGGATTTATCCTTTAATCATATCACCTTCTTACCTGACAGTAAGCAATATGTTTTATTTATCCACTGACCAAACGTTTCGCTTAAATACTCTGTCTAAAGTGAAGTTTCGTTCCTTAAGCTGGATGCTTCAATTGTGACGCTTTCATTCTTCTGTTGAACTACATCATCAACACAAAATTCGAGTAGTGTGTCATTCGAATTTATTCATATGTTATTAAGTTTATTCTGTCGACCTCTATCTTAGTTGGTTACTGTTAACTTTTATTTTGTCATTATATGAGCGTTTATTTTGACTGTGTTGCCTTATGACTTGATTCTTGATGCTATATATTTACATGACTTTATACTTGCCTGATAAATGATTGATAAACTGGATCGATGTGTTAACTGATTGCTGGCTGACCTGAGTCCCAAGCTTCTAACTATTCTTTGGTTTTCAACAAAATACGATCCGAAATGGAGAATGAGTTGATTAACAAACCATCGTTCTTGGATTTGTTAATCGTCAAAACCAACATAGGAAAACCGGAGACTCAGGTGTATCGAAAGCCCACTTACACAGATCAAACTCTCAACTAAAGTAGCAATAACCCAAGATTTAATGAAGCCAACTACTTATGATCTAATGAAAAGAGCGAAAATAAATGGCAGCCTACTTACAGCACGGAAAAATGAGGAAAAATATCTAATGAGTGTTTTCAATCAAAAGTCAATAAAAACATGACAAAAGCCCAATTTATCAAGCGAGTATGAAGTCATGTAAATATATAGCATCAAGAATCAAGTCATAAGGCAACACAGTCAAAATAAACGCTCATATAATGACAAAATAAAAGTTAACAGTAACCAACTAAGATAGAGGTCGACAGAATAAAATTAATAACATGAATAAATTCGAATGACACACTACTCGAATTTTGTGATGACGTAGTTCAGCAGAAGAATAGAAACATCACGAATAAACCATACAACTGAGAGAATCAAACTCTAAAATCATCATCAACTCAATGGCTACTTATTATCTCGTGAATACTTTTGATTCACAGGCTTTTTTCTACCCATAAAATGTTTTTTGATAATTTCTCTACTAGTCATAATAATATTAATGAGAAGTTGTGAATCAATTGACTAACGTTTCTACATTCCGAGATTTTCGCCAAGTTTTCTGAACAACCTAGCGTTAAAAAACTAAATCTTCGTGTTAAGCCATGTCACAAAAATAAGTCATTGATCTTTCAACTTAATCTGAAATAAAGTTAAGGAGACCAAATCAAAACATGTCGTCAGTCCATAAAGTCACTGACAATTAAACTTAACCATGTTAATAGGTGAAGACTACTTGGTTGGGGTCCGCGTGATTATCGAAATAAGTGGTTAGAGACTTTGAATGATATGGCTCAGAATCGTTTGCAGTGGTGCATTCTTCGCCTTCCTCCAAATTCTAAGATTTTGAATTCTTCATATCTGTTTTTGTGCTTTTATCTCACTAATTTATATTTTCTTGAATCGTATATTTGATGTCTAGTCTTTTCATACTGTCACGACCTTTACTATTCTGGGATTCGGCCTAATGGTTTGATCTCTTCCTGCTAAAGAAGTACGGCTACTTGAACTGATATACGTACGTACCAGGCTCCATATTGTGACTAACTAACTTTCAACTTAGTAAACCAAAAGTGCGTCAAAATTGCATATTTATTAAGTTCGAGTTCACCTTTCATTCGCATCTAAAACCTTTGATATCTTTTTATAATTACACAGACTTAGAAAATTCGTTGCGAATGCATAATAAAAACGTTTCCCTAAGTTAATTCGAATGCTGTTTGTTAGTCGGTCATCACCTGTATGAAATATTTTAAGAAGTTTGGTTAATATATCAACCTGATTTGAAATAGAGTTTGCCAAAATCACGTGGCATGCTTACGTTGTATGATGAGTCACTACAAGTGTGGGTGTGAAAATGAGAAATCTCGGACGAATGAATTATTCACCGAGATAAAGGTCAACGCCCACTCTAATAGGATGTGGATAATTTTATCCACCTATGAGTTCTACGTGCTAGTTATATTAGAAATAAGGTTTTCCACACAGTTTACTCAGTTCGTTTTGGATTTACTGAACGTGTGCATTAGGAACTGATTCAGGAGCTCGTATCGGAATGCTAACTCAAAAATACACAACATATTAGTGTCATAAATGGTTTACAGACCCTTCAGTGATGATTTGTTGCGAACATGACGTGTATCAAGCTGTTAAGATTGAAGAAATTTGCTTGTTTAAGCTTTCTACTAAAGAGGAGGCCACATTAGTTTGAACAAAAACCAGTCACATTAGCCATTCATTTTATACTAATTAATACTTATGTTATACCATACTTTCTTGTCAGCTTTGTTAACACAGTTTGGTAGTTTTGATCGTGACAAGGTAAATCAGGATTATAAGCTGCTTTTCATCCCAAGCAATTCTCAAAGTAGATTCTTGTAAAAATAATAAGAACCCAAAATCTATATCTTGCACATTCACTCATTAACCATAATATTATATCTAATCAACTCGGTCAGGTTTATATAGAAAAAACTTTTAGTACATAATAAATTCTATATACAATACGTAACTACTGGTCTGGAGGTCGCAGCGAAAACTAATGTACTTGCAGTGTTTTTTATTCACTTTCTGAATGAGTTATATCAATATATTTAAGGTGAAGTAGGTCTTGGTTATCATCTGTTCTCATTTTTATATCTATATTTTTCAAATTTACGTACAAATTCATGTTCGCGTGCGTTGGGTTCTGTGATCTGTACTCGTCCGGATGGAAGCTAGTGCCTGACTACTTGGCTGGGTTGCCTGATTGCATTGGATCCAGGCTGTAGGATACTTACTGAGCTTTGTGCGCTCAAACCATTCATTCATATCACTATATACTGTGTGGAACTATGCATTGAATGTAATCTAAACCTATAATTACCACATAAAATCGTGGAGTGGTGGGAGTAGCTGCAGCACTATGGTGTTTAATAGTTATGGGCGATTATTGTTGAGCATATTGTTCATAGGACTTAGCTTAGTAATCCAGAAAAGCTGAAATTTGAATAAAGAGAAAAACAACCGTCGTGACAGAATAATATGATTTCATCCATTTCGTGAATTCTCTTCATCTGTTTACAACCTTGAAACAGTATTGATTTTTCGAAAGTATATATATTTATGAAAATTACTAAAGTGATTATGAATATGGAAGAATTATAACAGTTTCCTAACATATGATTGTCTATATGTTTAATGATGTACGAACTCGAGAACGAAATCTTAAACACATAGATAGAAGTTTCTGAAAAACAAAACTGCTGACAAAGTTACGTAATAATAATCGTTAAAATGAATAGGTTGACAGCGTAAAATGAATAAAGTTTAGAAAGGATGCAAGAATGAAGAAGAGTTTATCATTTAGAGAATAAGTTACTACCCGAAAAGATACTCGAAATATAATGCACTACTATTTTTTGCCCGCAAAGAGCTGAAGATCGTCCGCGAATTAAATGAATTTACACTATTCCTTACGATCGTGCTTGGTTAATTCAAATTTATGTGTATAAGGATTATAAAAAATTTGTCCTAATCTCACGTTATCCCGTCTCTAACTAAATTCATCAAGATTTTTTTATAAACACCTAAATATATTGAAATTTATTGTATTTCAATTTTTACTTTTATCTATAGTTATGTAATCATCAATGTTTAACGGTGTTTTTATATTTTAAAAATTACTCAGGTATCGGAAAGTGTACATCTTTACGCGATCTAAATCTTCAACATAATCAACTGACAAAACTACCTGACAGCATAGGAAATCTGGTAAACTTATGTAGATTATCTATCAAGTGAGTGTTGTACACTAATTCTCCTTTCATTTTGTTATTCGCTTAGCTATCAGTCATTATATTCACTTGTTTATTAATGGATGATATATTGCTTAATACCAAGGTGGTATTAAAAAAATAAACCGTAAAATAAGTAAAAGTTTAGGAAAGAAGAAAGTCGAGTAAACTTAAGAGAATAATGAGAATTCATTTTACTTTTACTGAAAAAAAGCCTTAATTGTTACGAAAAATGTAGCAACAGTACACAAGTTTTTCTGTTGGTCCCTCCTATGAGCCATTTATATAAAGTCACTAGGATAAATTATTTATAGAGCCCCAGTCTTGGGAGTCTTAATGAACTATTGAGTGTTAGGGAGACCCAATTAATTTTCGTTTTGTAAAAGCTTGTTATGTTTTTTTCATTCACTTTAATCACCGGAAATTGGTTCTTAGTATGGAATTTTCTGGGATTTCGTGTATAATGTATATATCGAAGATTCTGAGACCTATGTTTGTAAATGGCTTCACTGATCAGAACTCTATGTTACTTACACGATGCTCTCATTAGGTTCAGTCAGTGATTCGGGGATGACGGTGATCGAATATAGGGAGCCACCGAGCATTATTAGCTTACTGTATCCAGCGTTATATATTTCACTCAAAAAAGGCTTTCGAGGGCTACCCAAAATTGCTTTGAAAGCATTACAAATTGTTTACCAGTCACTGATGTTCGTACATTTACTGGGAAAAACTCATTGCTCACCTCAATGTAATTACCACTATATGTACTTTATGTGTAAGAGAAGGTCTTTTTCTCACCAAATAGGTTTTGTTTTAGTCTCTATGTGAGTGTTCCAGACACTTGATATTGGGTTTGTGAATATTTTCTTCCAACTTTAAGCAAAATTGTATCTCACTGTCGTCGCTTAAAGATTCGATGTAAATTACAGGTTGCATTTGTTGCAACTGAAGCAGATGTTTGACTACTTATATCTATGGAAGGACTAAATAAGTAGCAGTACAAATTATCGAGATCTTCCTACGTAAAGTGTACAATGTGTGGTTATAGACATTGATAACATGCAGTAATCCTCATTTATTGGCAGGTTTGAAGTGTTTGTTGCATTTAGTCAACGACTTGATATTGGATGATTGTCGTACCATACCACGGATTTATTAAGGTTGGAAATATGAACCATTGCATTTCAAGTCATTGGTCTCATGTCTTAGTGCTCGGTATATTTTATCATACAATGGTAGAGCCTCTAACCACTGGTTATGATAGTCACGCGGACCCCAACCAAGTAATCTGCATCTACCAACATGGCTCATACCAGAAGTTAGTGATATTATGTACTGGTTCCACATTTTGGTTTGGCCGTCTCTAACTTTCTTCTATCCGTCTCCAACACTAATCAGCATTGCACGCCACAGTAGTTTATGGTCGGGCATGCGTAATCCGTGGCCTAACCATCTCAGTCGATGAAGATTCAGCACCTCATCAATTGATTTAACATAATTCCCTAATACCTTGCGTCTAACCTCAATATTACCTACCCAGTGATCCGAACAGATGCGAGCAACATTTCTAAGATATCTGTTATCAAATACTAGTAACTTTTGGGTATCTTCCACCATTAATGGTCATGTTTCGCATCCGTAAAATAAAATAGAACGAACCGCTACTCAGTATACTTATCCTTTAATTGATAGACGGATATCTCGCCTTCGTCGTAGATGACGTAAGTTGGCAAATATCAAACGAGCTTTTTGAGTCCGTGAAGAGATTTCGTCAGAAACCAACCCATTAAACCTGATCAGGCTTTCAAGATAATCGAAGCTGTCAATATGTTCGACTACTTCACTCTCTATCCTTAGTTCAGGTATTAACACAAGCCAGTCCTGAAGCAACAATTTGCATTTAGAGGGGGAGAAACACATCCCAAACATCCTGACATTCTTGCTTAGCGCCACCAAAAGCCTGCATTTTATCAGCGTCTTCATCAAACACGATTATGTCATCTGCGTATTCTAAGTCAATAAATGGACCAACTGGTATGAGATCAATTCCCGAAAATTCAGACGATAAGAATGTTTATTTCAGGTCTATGTTGAAATTAAGCAAAAATGGAGCACAGCAATTAACAACAGCCGAACAAGAACAGAGAAAGTTAAGAAACAAGCTGAATACGTAGAATCAAACAGGCAAGTGAAGGAGAACATTAGAGCCGACAAGCAGAAATACGTGGAAAAGCTGGCAACAACAGCGGAAAATGATGCAAGAGAAGGAAATATGAAACAACTACATGATACGACGAAGAAACTGACAGGAATACATAGTAAACCAGAGAGACCGGTCAAGAACGAAGAGGGCGAGCCAGTCACTGGAATTCAAGAACAGATAAACAGATAGGTGGAATGCATCAAGGAACTCTTAAATAGATCATCTCCATTGAATCCACTGGATATCGAAGCAGCACCTACAGATATTTCTATAGATGTTACTCCACCATCAAGTGATGAAGAAATTATGACAATCGGACATATCAAGAGTGGGAAAGCAGCTGGACCTGACAACATACCAGCCAAAGCAGTAAAGTCAGATATTGAAGTAACTGCAAAGATACTCCACGTTCTACTTAGGATGATTTGAGCGGACTGAAAGAAGGATAACTCATCAAGATACGAAAGAAAAGAGATCTGAGCAAATGTGAGAACTATAGAGGTGTCACACTACTATCAGTACCAGGAAAGGTTTTCAACAGAGTGTTGCCGACCCAAATGAAAGTTTCAGTAGACACCCGGCTTTCAAGATCAACAAGCTGGATTCCGTAAGGATGGGTCGTGCACAAACCGAATCATAACACTACCGATCATAGTTGAACAACCAATTGAATAGAACATTTCGTGATACATTAACTTCCTTCATTATGAGGAATTATTTGACAGTGTGGATAGGAGAATGTTATGTAAACTTCTTCGACACAATAGGGTAATTGAGAAAATCATCAACATCATTTGGAATTCGTACGACGGAATACCCTGAGAAGTGGTGCATGGAGGGCAGCTGACAGACGCATTCCAAGTAAGGACCGGAGACAGACAAGGCTGCCTACACGAGGCTAAAAGTAAGATACTGAAACACAGCACAGAGAACACCAACCTAGTCGCATTTGTTGGAGAAACTCTGTACGATGTTGGAAGTTTCACATATCTGGGTGGAATCATCGATGAACGTTAAGAATACGATGCAGGCGTAAATGTGAGGATTAGCAAAGCAAGGACAGCATTCCCACAGTTGAACATATGCCACCCAAAACAACTTTCAATCAATACCAAAGTCAGAATCTTCAATACGAATGTCAATACAGTTCTAATGTAAGCAGCTGAAACGTGGAGAACTACCACAATCGTCATGAAGAGGGTACAATTATTTATAAACAACTGTCTACGCAAGATACTTAATGCTTGTTGGTCTGATATCATCAGCAACAGCCTATTGTTGGAGAGAACAAACTAGGTTCTGAGATGGTGGAGAAGATTTGTAGCTCAGGTGGATGATTTTGGTGGACTTTTGTTCTCTGAGCTGGATGGTTTGGTCGTGGAGCTTTCATCGTTCTTCTGAACGACATCATCAGTACAAACTTCAGATAGAAGTCTATCTGAAGTTTGTACTGATGATGTCGTTCAGACGAACGATGAAAGCTCCACGACCAAACCATCCGGCTCAGAGAACAAAACTCCACCAAAAAAAACTAGGTTCTAGTTGTAGAGGAAACTAGGTAAAGACTTTGGAAGTGGATAGTACACACATTGAGGAAATCATCAGACTACATCTGGAGGCAAGCGCTAACTTGGAATCCTGAAGGGAAACAGAAAAGAGAAAGGCCAATTAACACACTGCGTCGAGAATTGGAAGCAGACATGAAAAGGATGAATAGCAAGTGGAAGAACTGGAAAGGATTGTACAGGACAGAGTTTGATGGAGAATGTTGGTGAATCGCCTATGCTCCTCGAGGAGGGATAACATGCGTAAGGAAAGTAATATATAGATATAACAGATAGGTTTTTTCTTTTCTTTTAAAGATATAACCAGTTGGTGGAAATTCCGGCAAGTCTAGCTAACTGTGTGAAACTTGACGAATTTAATGTGGAAAACAACCAGTTGTCTTCACTTCCTGTAAGTCAGTGACATTCATTTTATTGTTTATATTTAAGAGTGTAATATACATCTCATTGATGTGTATGGTTTTTGCAAGTCATCCCATAAATGATTTTCTCTGTTTCTGATTTGTAATTTGTGCATGTTCTATTTAAAGCTTTTCATATTATCGCCGTATATGTATTTTAAGATGATTATAATAATAACTGTTTGCTGTTAAAATTAGAGTCTTTTTTACGAATTTATACGATATTATTTTATTTATCTCTCCAACAGAATAATTTGCTATCATGTTTACATAATCTACTAAATATCACCCTGTCAAGAAATTATTTTACAAACTTTCCCTCTGGTGATCCACAACAATTTCAGATGTGTTATGTAAGTTATCTTTTGTTATCACTACTGGTATTAGTAATAGTCCAAATAATGTGTGTTCTTACTCACCTATTTACTTACGACTGTTACACTTAATGGAACATAGGTCATTGACTAGGATTATCCAACCAACTCTGTTCTGGGCTTTCTAGTTGTCCGTAAGCTCTATTCATTCTTTTGATGTCTCCCTCCAATTACCGGTGCAATGTGTTTCTTCGTCTGCCTTTTTTCCTTTTACTCTGAGGATTCCAAGTTAGGGCTTGCCTGCTGATACAGTTTGATGGATTTCATAATGTGTGCTCTATCCACCTCCAACGTTTTTTCCTTATTTTCTCTTCAGATGGATGCTGGTTTGTTCTCTGCCACAATAAGTTGTTGCTGATAGTGTCCGGCGAACGAATCTGGAGTATTTTATGGTGACAACAGTTTATAAATATGTTTCTTTTTGATGATGGTAGTAGTAATGTACTACCAAAACTAGCTAATTAGGAGAACTTTAGTATCCAGGTATGTAGAATCAACAGGATATTCGACTATTTATCATTTAGACGATGGTTTTCATCAATGAACTCAGTGTTGAAAACGTGATTAGGTCAACTGTATGTTTTGAGTCCTGAAATATATTCCGTGATTCTATCTGTTTTTACATCTTCAAATGGTCCTATTTATTATTAAACTTTCTAAAAATATTTTATTGATCTCAGAACTATCAATAAGATTACTGCAGTTTATATGTTAGAAAAGTATTCGTACACATTGTATTGTGTTTGCATCCTTTTTGGAACTCGGTTAAGGAATTACACTAAGGTGAATATTTTTCACATTTCGTATCCTATTATTAATGTTTATATTTATAATTAACCCGTTAAAATTCATAATTTGTAAATTATACGACTAGCCGTGAAACTATTTGAAAATATGCCACAGCGTTTATGCATTTTTTTAGGACTAACGGTTTAAAGATTTTCGTTTAATTTATTACAGTTATCAGTAAGCTCCATCCATTGCACTCTTTCAATGAGTTATTGAATGCATAATTTTTATATTGTTTAACAATGATAGCATAATTTTTATTGACGAATTAAGTGTACTCATTTTGTTTAAAACCTTTTATAGCAATTGGGATTACTAATAATTAATCGTTGTATAATCAAGTTTTTGAGGAAATACTTATTTACAGTAGTTTCTTACTACGCTTTAGAAGTAGAATTTAAAATATCTATTCAGAATTATTTAGCCTTTGTAATTAGTAGAACTTAGGAAACTGGTATATGGATTGTAATTTTAAAGTCTGATAAATACAAACTACCGAGGATATGTATTTATTTAGAATTTGTTTTCCTAATTATCACAATCAGTCAGTCATGCAGAATAAGAGCAGTATTACTTTAAGCCCTCTATGATCGCAATAACAATGAAATTTTATATATGTGTGCCCTTGGAACCATCTGTTATTCTGGATCGTACTATTGACATCTAACTGAAGTATAATGTAGCTGTATTTCAAAATAGAAATAATTATGGAGAGTAATATAAAATCCCGTTAATCAAAAGAATTCGCATGCACATTTGGAATGTTTTATGTGCCCACCATGTCCTACTTTTATCACAAATATGTAACGAAAACTACAAAGTCTAATCATTCGATTTAACACAATCTAATAGCCAGTCAGTTTGGTAAGGAAATTGAAGGAAAAAAGAATCAAACCTATATATATATATATATATATATATATAAGAATCCAACTAACACTGGTATTTCTCATGTGTTAAAACAATTAATAATTACTCTGTTAAAAAGTATGATTAAGGAGCTTTCAGGTTGTCATTCAGTTGGTGGTGATAAGCAACGTGAAACCTGGCACAAATATGCATCAGTCCGATTTACTACATCAATGCTACAGAGAGATGAAATTATAAACACGAATACAATGATGAAAGTAACAGTAAAATCAGTGGTAGCTAAAAGATGTAATGTGAGTTTGAGTTTGGTAATTTCATCTGACGTGCGTTCGGGTAATTCTTATATGTTAACTGGATGAACCGCATGATTAATACACTGTTATTCCTTCGCACTATGGAACAGAGGGAACAGAAAACTTTTAAGGAATATGTATTGATGAAGACCTTGAAATAATCGATTTACACTCAAGTTTATTCAATTATATATCGATTCTTCAGTGATTATTGATTACTAAATCTGTCAGGCTGAGCAGTTGTCACAATGAGTTTTTCAATGCAATGAAAACGTCGAATAACTAATATTGTATTGAATAAATTAATAGAACTGAAAATTCATTCATTTTGTATATTTTTTAAAAATCTTCCCATTGATGTTTAGGACTGCAGTTGATCAGTCTCTTATTGGCATACATGCATCCTGTGCTAATTGCCTGGAGTCACAAGCATTAGAAACAAAGGTAGATGGTGGCTAGCAGTGGAATCATTTCGTTCGATTTGGGACTCGTTAGCTGGATGTACCTGCATTCCAGAGTTGATGTTCACTCCACCACCCATCTTTGTTCCCAATGCTTGTGACTCAAGGCAATATCGAGGCAATACGCATAGTATGCATATATACCAATAAGAGACTAATCAGTTGCAATCCTAAACATCAATAGGAAGATTCAAACAAAAAATACAAAATGAATTTACGTTTCACCCCATTGCATAAGCTAATGGCTTTAAGGACTCAGTAGGTAAGTGGGTAACGCGATGGTGATTGAAGGAACTGGTAATGAGTTCGTTTCCCGGAGTGGACACCATCTCTGGGATGCAGGTACATCCAGCTGACGAGTCACAGATGGGACGAAACGCACGTCCTGGATTTCACTGCTAGCCACCATCTATCTTTGCTGAAAATTCATTGTCACTCAAACAAAAACCAGTCAAGATGAATCATTACTGAAAGTTGCCGAACAAATATCACTTTAAAACAGTCTGTGAATTTTAAAATTGTATTCTTCCGAATGTTGTATTTCGGGGTTTAACGTCCCCAATAAAAGGTTGAAAACAGAAAATCTAGTTCAAGAAGAATGGACGAATTTACAAACTGAAAATATGAGATATTGAAATTCGGGATCGAGGGCTAAACTAAGAAAAGATCCGTGCTACTGTTAATGATCTTGAATCTGTAACAGTTAGTCAAATTATCGTTTGGACTCCAACCAGATAGTCTGGTAAAACGGCTCAGACCAACAGCCAGTGACTAAGAATCAATACCAGTTCTTGATTTGGCCGCCCCTCGATTTTTTACGACTTACGCCTATATCAGATAAGATCACACGTCATGGCAAATGGTGTCTGAGTATAAGTTATGCATGTCCTAGTCACTCTTCAATCTGCAAACCATCACCTATTACTCTATGTTTAACCTCAACATCACTCACTCGGTTGTTCTACAATAAATGAATCAAACCTAAATCACCGCCAATTTAGAACATTGATACTAGGTAATAACAATCAATATAACTCCTCAGTTTTTGAGATATCGTAACCTCACCAAGTAATTTACTATCTTTGTCAGTAACTCTGCTCAGCGCAACAATCAGCTACTCAGTCAACGATTTTACAGTCTACGAGCAATCTGTTGAAACTACATTATATTGTCTTCTAACAACCAGCGTTTGTCTTACAAATAAAATAGTGGTTGGTACCATAAAATATTTATGAATTTCCAACTGTAAAAAGGCAATGTAATTTGATTCAAAAAACCTCTCTTGTGTTGTAGAACTATTAACTGAGAAGTTAGTTCATCATCACAATGGGAATTATTGATTTTTTTTGTAAAGACATCCATCTCACATTTTTGTTCACTCCATCTCGTTCAGCGATTAACTTATTAAATGTGTCAAATATGTACAGTTAATCTTTTACAATATATTGAATAACTTGTTTATTATCGTCACTCTCTAAAAAGTCTGAATAATATCTATGTTCCATGGTGGAGTTTGTAACAGGGTTTTCATGAATGTATCGGCCTTCCTAAATTCTTCAAAGCTACTTAGTCTTCTGATATTCGAAAAAAATAGCTGAATTATATTCGAAGGAATAAAACATTCTGTACAGTTTTTTTTTTAAGAAAAAAATTAGAAATTGATTGTTTTACTTTAATTTTGTAAGTTTAATTATGTTATTTAAATGATTTCTAATTATGAATCACAGTTGGATTTAGTAAACTGGTATTAAACACATCCATATTTCTAGTTGAATGAAATTTTAACTAATGAATTCTACTTTCTACTGTATATCATATTAACATAATAAAAATGTCAATATCTTTAGCAAATTACAAATGACATTGATTATGATTGTGTAGTTAAAAAGTGATATGAATTGTGAAATTGTTTCTCCCAACAACAACAAAACTTGGATGTCAACAATAAAAAAAATGAATAAACTATTGTAAAGTGTATAGTCTTTCGTGGCTAAGTGTACCGTAGTCGTATTTTATAAAATAATTTCTTTACTTTTTGACAAAATTTCAAAAGAATTTATTTCAATCATAGATCTGGGACTGACTAGCTCGTTTAATACTTCATAGTAGTTGTTTGAAAAACAAGGTTCTGATCTTATCTAAAATCTAGTGTTTAAGTAATAATATCAATTTTTTCCCATTATATGTACGATTTCTGAAACATTCTAAACTAAATAAAATTTATATACATACATATAATATACCAGACGATTTATCAAATCGTTTCACCTTTTTCCTTTTTGTTTAGACTATCAATATGGATCATAATGAAATTACAAACATTCCAAAATCTGTATTTAGTTTGGCTTCAAATTTGATTAAATTAAATTTACGTGATAATGCATTAGACAGTTTAATTGGTCCAGGTTAGTTAAATACCGTCCCAGTTTCATTTTAAAGTGTCTAGATAAAATAATAATAATAAATAGTGGTTTTGTAGTAACTGTTTATTTTTCTATAAATTAGTAATAAGACCACTATTGCGTTTGCACTATCGTTTAGTTTTAAGTTAACGTTAATGATTTACTAAAGTATTGAATTTTACATAAGTTTCTCAATATATGCGCACTGCTGAGGAGTCCCATACTAGGACGAAACGGCCGTCCAGTGCTTCCAGGTTTTCCATGGTGGTTTAGCTTCAACTGACTCATGATTTCAATCTGTGAAAATTTCTAAAATCTCCACAAACCCCTTCTGATAATTAACTAATAGTAAATAATAATTGATCCTCTAAACTACTTGTTCATTTGTTATTTAAATATTCTCTTCATTAAATTTATTTACTTAGACTTGCATGAATTAAAAACCTTAGTTGAATTGGATTTGGGCTCTAATCATTTGACAGAATTACCTACGGAAATCAATAAACTTGTTGCTCTTGAAGTACTACGATTAAACTATAATCAGTTAACTGTGAGTTGTTTTAATTATATTTACCGTTATTTCTATTTTCCGGTTTACATATGAAAATATATAAATTTTAATATTATTTGTTCTGATAATAACGTATGCTAATGAATTTGTTCATCACTATTTCTTCTTTCTAATTCTATATCCTTTGTTTGATGTGTATTATTGACACAATAGTTCAGCATTTTCACTAAGTTGAATAAAACGATGTTAAGGTTTACACTGTAGTTTCTGATTCTACTAGCTTTGCTATAAGTTATATATGCGTCCCACCTCACCGTTCGATTCCTATGAGAGCTATGATAATGCCTGAGCGCCCAAACCGAAACTGGTGCTTTACATAGACAGGCCACTCAACAACCCTTTGACACAAAAGTCCAATCATCAACACATGGTTGGAACAACGTTAGGAGATGCAGTCATATGGTAGTCGATGACCAGCAATAGGTTCATACACCATTTATTCCTCCAGGATCCTCCAACCCATGTATACCATTGGTTTAGAATCAGGGTTTTCCAACTCTCCTAGGTAGACCCTCGTGTTCATTAACCCGGTTAGAGCACCGGGCATTCGCTTTGTGTCCTCTCAACTTTGCACACAACACGTGTGCAGCGAGAAGACATTGAGTAGAATTTCTCTGACAGTGGTTGTATACGCGTATCTATGTGAGAGTATTTGGAGAGGGATGGTGATCTCTCCCCACCTTCGACCTTACCAGAACTTTTCGGGGCTTCATCAACGTAACAGATTAGAACATAAGATATCAAATACAGGTTGTGCTATAAAGTTCTGTTTAATTCATGTAGCAGCAGAATTATTTTATCGAATAGTTTATTCTGTTGTGAGACAAATCAAAGTGAATCATCCAACTATTTTTCTATTGTAATGTTTAGGTTGGTTAATGGTTTTAATAATGTTTCATGTTCGTTCGTTTGATCAGTTTCATAAATAATTCAAGTCATAAGATAACTTATTCTTTATAATGAGTTCACTTTCAAAACCGCACAAGTAGGCATATATATATCATTATTCTAAAAGAAACGTATTTTTTTTATTGTCCAATAATTATTACACTTATTATTATCTTTTCGTTATTGACGTATTTGTAAGTATCAACGCCATGGTTGAAAGCTAATAATAAATATATTTTCGGGATATAACCAAAAATATATTTATCATTAGTTTTTCGTTAGTTAATCCTGTTGCTTTAACCTATTCTTCATAAAAGGAAAATTTTGTTTACTTAAATATTCGTTATTATGATGTGAGATGGAGTGTTTCTATTTCTTGATCTTATAATTTCTAAGCTGAAGTAACTAATTTCGATTCCCACTTTCTGCGTTTTGTAATAATTCTATTCATCATCTATCCAAGCTAAAGAAGGCAAATTAGAATGCGAACTTGTCTTAAAGAGATTCATCAACTAACAACCTAAAGTTATCATAGATTCTATATTATGTACTTATTTCTTGCATCAATAAATCAGTCACCTTTCTTTATATTAAGCACTTTTCTTTTTCTAAATTGTATACTTACACATTTTTAGATGTTAGATTAAATTGTATTATTCTTTAAATGAACCATTTCTTAATATTTGAATTATTATTATTTATTTATTTGAACACATAAATATTGGTACAAGAGTGAGCCAAATATATATGCGCCACACAAAACAATGAGAATTTTAAGAGAATGGAAAAAAGGTAACAAGCGTAAAAAAAATGAGAACAATAACGAAGAGATTGGTGTAAGGTAGTGTATTAATAATAATAGTAATAATGAGGGAACGGAAAGGTACAATCAGAGGAAATCTTTCAGTTAAGGAAGAACCAACCACTTTTTATGAAGTAAAAGAAGGTTACAGCAGGATCACCACTGACTTCTATTCTGAGCCATATCTGATAACGTCCCTAGCCACTGTGTTGCACCATCTCTCGGACCCCAGCCAGGAAGTCGTGAAGGTCCAACAGAAGTCAGCTCTTTGTAACTCTCTTTCATACCCCGACACCGTATCATACACTGACCACCTCTCCGCTTTTTCCAACCAGTCCTAGTGTCGGCAAATAATGCACGACGTGGGATTCTCTGGGACGACATTCGTAGGACATGTCCAAGCCACCGAATTCGACGTTTCAAGATGGTGACACCGATTACATTATCGTTCTGTGCCCGAACACACATTTAAAAATCTTTACTCAAATTATTACTTTAAGTAATAATATTTTTCTATTCACATATCTACATGTGTATTGAATTCATGATGTCATCTACTTTGAGATTTCTAGTAGGAATAATTCTATTAATAGAACTATTCATTAAACTAAATTTAAAAGAATTACTCAACAAATTAATTTCTTTCTAAAGTGTAAATTCTTACCAAATGCTCTGTGCTGTGAACCATTGTGATAAAAAAAACAATTTTTAATTTGACTTGTCAACGATGAAAGTATGCAGAGAAAATATGTGAACAATAAAAGAAGTTTGTCACCCGAATATATATATCTATATACATTAAATTGATATTGTAGCGTTTATTTTTATATTGACTTCTGTAATAGAATAACCATTTTATAAAGGAAAAAGTGTTTTATATAGGATTTACTAATGGTAAAATAATTTCATATATGAGTTTTGGTATAGATTTTTATTTTCTGAAAACATTTTCATATTTTAATTTTAGCTATTGTATAAGTTGATTTAAACGAAAATGTCATATGACTACTCCATATGATTATTGTCTATAAAATTATCATAGCTACCACTTCATTTTGCTTTAGATTGTTTCAATGATTTTTTTTCTACTCTTAACTATATATATATATATGACTTAAATAATGAGGAATCTGTTTGTTGGTACCATTTGTTTCGCATTCTGAAAAATGAAAACTGCTTTATATACAGTTGTATTTATGAGATTATATATATGCCTTAGCGGTTTCTGTCTTGTTATCTCTTTGAAGTAAAACTTATATCTGATAATTTGACAACGATATTTTAAATCGGTTGTTTGTCGAAAACATTGATTTTTTCTTGATGTCGAATCAATACTTAGTAAAATCAAGAGTTTTGTCCTGGTACGGTCGAAGGTGGGGAGAGATCATCATCCCTCTCCAAATACTCTCACATAGATACGCGTATACAACCACTGTCAGAGAAATTCTACTCAATGTCTTCTCGCTGCACACGTGTTGTGTGCAAAGTTGAGAGGACACAAAGCGAATGCCCGGTGCTCTAACCGGGTTAATGAACACAGAGGGTCTACCTAGGAGAGTTGAAAACCCTGATTCTAAACCAATGGTATACATGGGTTGGAGGATCCTGGAGGAATAAATGGTGTATGAACCTATTGTTGGTCATCGACTACCATATGACTGCATCTCCTAACGTTGTTCCAACCATGTGTTGATGATTGGACTTTTGTGTCAAAGGGTTGTTGAGTGGCCTGTCTATGTAAAGCACCAGTTTCGGTTTGGGCGCTCAGGCATTATCATAGCTCTCATAGGAATCGAACGGTGAAATGTGACGCATATATATTTGGTGCCTCCTTGTACCATGTACGTGTGTTTAAATTAATAATGCTGAATATGTATTAATTACTTTAGATCACATCGACTGGAATGTTTTGATCATAGTTGGAGATGATTGTGTAACTTGTTTGGTAAAAATCAACGTTATTATGTAAAGTTTATAAGAAATATTAATATAGTTAATCAATTCTAGTTATCTGTCTCGATGCGTTTTTCAGCTTTCTTTACTAGACTATCCTCAAAGTTAACCCTAAAATAATGGTTTGTTTGAATGGTTCCTATCGTTTTTCCTCATTTCTTGCATTTTTGCTGATTACATCTATGACATATCTAGTCTGAAGATAAGTTTTGTCAAACATTGAGATTAGTTCAAAAAGCGTGCAAACTGAAATAGCGCTTTTTAAACATATTTAGAAACCTTTCGACAACATGCATTTACGACTTTTCACGAATTGGAACATAGGTCTTTCCAGTCTCATGCACTACACTATACAATCACTTTGTTAGAATTCAATAACTTCTAAATTTAACTGGTGAAATTTTAAAATCGTAATGCATTTGTTAGTTAACTGAACAACACAATACAAGTGCATATTAATATTTCGTTTCAACGACATATGTAAATATTTTCTTATTGGTATCATTCTACTAAGGCATTGAGACTAAATTTATATTGCGTCTCTCTGGAAACTCGTAGATTTTCGGCGTCATTAATAAAAAACAATTTTAGTAGTTTATAATTAATGCTTTTTATGATCAAATCCATTAAGCTGTTTGGTCGTCACTTTTGTCTAGGTAATCTTGTCTGATTTTATATATCGTGAAACGCCTTTTACTGTCAGCGCTTTACACACTTACTTCCTAGTCAGTTGAAATGTTTAATTTTTGGACCCCAGTCGGAAAACAGAATCTCTATAATGTCAAGGGCAAACTTCGAAAGTTGAATTATGTACAGAGTTTCTGTGATTGTAAATGTCCGTAAAATGCTAAACAGCTCCATTCTTTCAACAGATTGTGTAATAACTTGTTCATATTGATTTATGCGTCATTTAAGTTAGCCACATTATTATATTCTAATAAGGTTCTAGCTAGAATTCAAATCTAGTTTGCTAAAATGATATTCTCTGTAAAAATTCATTTAACAACATGATATATATATATATATATATATATATATATATTATATAATATATATATATAGAGAGAGAGAGAGAGAGAGAGAGAGGGAGGGAGATGGATGAATCACTGAATCCATTTAGTGACTATTATTAAGGCTAGCAGAATGAATGTGTGCGTAGGTGGTAAGCAATGTTCAAGCATACATATTCATACAAGCACAAGAATAATAAGATACAATGATATAGATAAATTATTGTATGGATGACTCTGTCCGTTAAATAAGTTAGCAAAAGGGCTTAACCAAATTAAATGTGAACAAACTCAATTGCACGTGAGCTGCTATTAGGTAAATTAAACAGTATTTATTATAGTAAATCCTACTATTAGACTGAGATTTGTATATATTTTCAAATTAAACTTGACTATCGAGGAATCTTCATCTATTGTCATTGTTTAAATAGTGATTTATTCATCCATTAGTTGAATTTACAGGTTATGACCTGTTACCAGAACTTCAAAAAATTCATTTACATACTAGTCACCTGTGTATAATGAACACGTGGTAATTGTTTTTTTTTTTAAATGATATGGTTTTATTGTGATTATTGTGTATTTTTACAACAAGAGCAAATAGAAAATAGTTTCATGATACTAATACAATCTATACTTCAGAGTATATAGTGTTTGTTCGTTTTGTTCTTCATAGATGTAATAATTCGTTAGTTGTTCATTTTACTGATTGATTTTGCCTTTGTTTAATAGTTTCTGTTATATCCTAGCGAAGATTAAGTTATGGGTAACTTCTGAAAACTATTAATGGACTAATATTATACATATATTCTTATTGTATAACTATTGAGTAACTAGATTATGTATATTTACATTCTTATTATTATAAGCTTCCATTTGACCCATAGACTGTTATTATACGGTTTACTATTCTTAAGTTATTCCTAATTTATTAGTTACAGCCTCGCACACTCACAGCCACTTTTTAGCTTGATCTTGCATAATTGTTATTTTCTATTTTATGGTATCATGTGGTCTGGTTTGTTTCTATATAAACCCAGTATGTCTGAAATAAATGATTCGTACAATAGAAGCTCATATTGACGTGCTGGACTCAACAGACAGGGCTGGATAGAAAAAAAAGACTAATAAGGACACTAGGTTGTTCATGCCCGGTCAATACGTCATTGTAGTGGCACAGTGTATATGTCGTATTCTGATTGGTGATCATATCACGTGATAATTAGCCAGGCAAAAGTCGTAACAGTGGAAATGAACACTTCACAAATACTTTTTAGTCTGGTTAGCGTTATAATAAATAAATCCATGTGTGTCTTTTAACCTGTAATATTTAAAGGTTTTGTTTTTTCTCATATTTTGTCTAAATCATACTGTAATATATAAAATATATCTCATAGTAATTTGACCTATACATCAAACTATGAATGGATACACTGTTAACCTAACTTATTGCTTAATGTATGTAATACTTTGGAAAAAAAAAAGAAAGCACTTGATAAAAATTTGTGTCATCAATTTATCATAAGATTAATTTTAATTGTATAAATAGTGATTAAATTATACAAACTGTATGGTCTTTGTTCACCTTTTTTGATTGATTAGTGGTATGTGTATATGTATTTGTGTGTGTGTGTGTGTCCATACTCTTAAACTGTATTTATTTCACTGGTCTCTTTTTTTTTAAATACAAGACAATTAAAAGGAATGAACTGTTTGCTGTTTTTGTTCTTCTTTTATTCGTCTGTATATCTCATTCCAATCATTCAATTATTTATTTATACTATACCAAAAAGAAAGAAATAATTTATTTATAGCACACCTACTTAAAATAAACAGATTGATTCTCTGTTTGTTTGCTTGGTAACTGAACGTGATAGAAAATCAATTGGAAATTAAATTATATTAGGTAATTTAGTACAAATAAGAACCTTTTGTTATATATGCCTATATTATAGTGTACTTGTGTTCCATAACACAACAAATTGATTGTTATTTCAATCTCTATCTCTTTCAATGGATTCTTTTTATTTACTACATATTTGTACATTCGTATTTGAAGTCTTTACCTGATGAAATAACACAATTATCAAAACTACGTATTCTGGATTTGGAATCAAACTTATTGGAATCTTTACCAAATGATTTATCAGGTTTAACATCATTACAAGAATTAAATGTTCTATGTAATAGATTAAAAACATTTCCTGCAAGTATTGGGTAAGCTTGTGACATTAATTGTTGTAATTATTAAACATGTATATATATATATATATATTCTTTTTAGTAGTGAAGGTAATGGTAGTAGTATTCATTTCATTTTAACGAAACTTTATACTTTCTTAATCGTTTATGCTCAAAATAATAGATCATACATATTGAAATGAATTTCTTAATTAATGACCTCTATACACCAACTGTACAAAATTATTGAGCATTACTCAAACACAACAGACATCGGATACAGATACATACATATGTGATCATGTGTCCATAAATGTTGATTTCCAATATTCAATATAAAATACACAGACAGTTTCCATTGAACTAATAAATGCTATACGGCGATTAACGATACATGAATATGTAATACAAAAGGTGGATATTAATTGTAATTTAATTGTATACAAAATGACTGATAAGTCATATATGTAAAAACTAATAATAATAATCTCTTAAGTATATATGTTATATATAGAAGGTTGTTCTTGATATACCGCGTATAATGTGAGCACTAGAAAGTCAGAACCCTTCCAAGTCGCAATGAGAAGACAGAAGACTAATGAAAGGAATATTATTCCCAGACAGTGTCAATTATAATACAAAATTGTTAGGTATTTATAGTTTTTAATAAGAACGAAATCACCATTACAGTCCTCCAATCCGCATACAGGGGGTTATTAGCATTGCCCAATAGGGAAGCTACACGTAGGAATTCTAGAATATTCTTCCCAAAGGTGATTGGATGGAATATCTTCGGCTCCTTCTGAGCCTCCTACAGCTTCCTCGAGTTCACCCGTGGTCTGTCGTCACAATATAGGATATTATGTCCAACCTAAAAACGAGCTTTCTAAAATAGTAAGCTGTAATCAGTGAATATAATACAAACTGAGAGGAATGTTATATCGAACTAAGCTTATTTCCTTTATTAATAATCCAACCTAAAAGTAGATTAGGACGGATCCTAAACTTGCCCATATAAAACAGTTAGAAGGAAATAGCTATAATATGAAATCAAACTCAATAGTTTACTTAAGAGTGAATCGATCTCATATAACAAACAAAATAGTTGAATATAGTTTTTTCAATACGCAAATCGAATTTCTTTGCATTCGTTCTTACAACGCCCATTATGCATAAATTATAAAACTTATGATCCTCAATAAAATATTTCACCCTTTTAATACAATGTTTAGTGTCAACCAGATAAGAATAAAAATGGCCTCATTTCATCGAGTTGATCAATATTTCTTACTAGCCAATATGATAAACATTTATGAGCATACAAAAATAAAATCAACTGGTGACAGACAGTATTCTATAAGATTAATTAGAATGATGCACATATAATATTTATCCTAATCTCACTGTGGGTAATTTTTCCTCAAGTCGATTTATCATTACTAATCTGCTAAGAAACGGTCAGACAATTTACATACATGAAGTCTGCTTCCAAATGGTAAAACGTGTATGCATATCTAAGTGATCATATTCACCTTATGCTATCGATCATTACAAATCTTCAGCATTGTAGAATATACACACACTAAGTCATGAATGACTGTCGTTGTTTTTTAAATAAAAAATAGACAGTCTGGTGTAGAATTTCACTTCTCTTTTAATAGGTCCAAGTCTATGCCATTCTTAAAGGCAATCATAATTTGTTAACTTCTAATCACTTACCATGTGTATAATAATAGTCAAATTTTGAAAGTGATGATAAATTTATAAACTGTTGTACCCAGTTTTGAGAAAAATTTCTTAGACTAGGACACTTTGAAAGTTCGGATAGGTTTATTAGTTTTTTAAAATAATTAATACTGGAACCCAGAGTTCACCTTAGTTTTCTACATAACATTATCGTCAGTATTATAGTATTACTACAGTATTACTCTATAGTATTGTAATCTGATGAGTAATTCGACGCTTTAGAGATAGATGCTACTCACTCTTCTAATATTGGTCGTTATACAATCGATTCAGTCAACCTGGGTATAAATATTTCATATGTAAGGTATAGAGCACATTCTCTGCGCATTGTTATTCGTCATACTTTATAGCTAGTATAAGATAGCATGCAATTAGATGATACTACCACTTACTTTTTGACGAACACCAACTAGCACGACGCCTAAATTTTTAATATCCTGTCGACCACCGCCAACTGACTAACGCTAATTTACGCTTAACATAATAATAACAATTGATAATTATTAAACGTAATTCGAGTTTTATAAAATTGGATAATGTACAAAGAGAACACCAGTAATCAGTTAAACAAGCCAACAGCTGATTTGAGCTACCGACAAAGCCATGTGTTAATAATAAAATATGAAATATACTTTTAAGGAATGGACTTATTGGCGAAATCAATTTTAGAATATTCTGAGAAGTTAACACTCGAAAACTTCAAGAATTAACACTTAAACGAATTTGAAAATGTGCATTTACACAGCGTCATCTTTCTGGAACACTAAATGACCCTGATGACTGGATGTATATTTTTTCAAAGAATATCTCCTATTAGATTTGAAATTGTCATTACTAACATATATCTCTAATAACCGTTTATCTTCCCATTATTTACCTATCGTTTCTTTGTTTGCTTTGCTTTACATCCCTATAGACAACTTACCAAATTGAAAGTGATTATGGCCGGTGAAAATGACATTACTGATATACCTGTTGAAATAGGTAAGCAAAATAACATTACACATATTGTTTTTTCATTCTAAATTCTTAGCTTAAATTAGTTTATCCACGTGACTGTTTTTTAGTTCTCCAAGAAAAAATCTACAATGTATATGGTTGTTTTGCAACAATTGGTATGGCAGTAATAAATATTCTACTCAGTTGAATCGACTATTATTATTATTATTATTATCACATGGCTCATCATGCATTTTCTCCAGTTATATCTTTCGCTTTTTAACTAAGAAGCTTTATACTTGATGAGTTTTTATGGCTTAGAATTGTTCATTGGTTGATTTGTATCAATGGTAATTAATGTTTGATTTGTTAGTAAATACGTGAATATAAACAGTAGAAGTTTGTACAATTGATTTTGACCCCATAATTTTTGTTTTAGTGGAGGAACTAGTGATACTTACCATTGTTATTTACCTTCGATAAAATAGATACAGTAGGATCAGAACCTCTACTACCCAATAACAAAATCTAGGTTATCAAAAAAGTTGTATCCATCACTTTAACAACAATTTGAAAAACACCAATAGGAAAAGTTAAGCCGAAATTTGACATGTTTTACGATAATCCATATGAAAAACTTTAAAATGATAAGCAAGAAGAAAATCGCTTATGAGAACATGAATCCTCAATCTAGAATGATCTTAAAAATAATACAATGTTCGGTATTTATCGAACGATAAATAATTAAATGTATATGTTCCATTATGACACATTTTAAGCCATGTTGCGTAAGTATTTAAAACCAGATTTATTTTATTTTCTCGTGAATGTCTATTCTTTTCTGAACGACTCACATCATTTCAAATAGTAATCCATTCGCGTTGTCTGATATATAGTAATCTTTTTCATGATCACGAAAAACAATATTAGAACCAATGGTTTTATTGTCTATAAGTTTTCAGATTTAATTACGAACACCATTTTATTGTGCTTCATTAATTGATTGATGTATAAATCTAAATCAGAACAAATTAGATTTATGATCAGTTAAATAATGCAAGGTAAACATATACACATACAAAGAGGCTCAAAGGTCCATCAAATAAAGCTAACATCTTTAATTTGTACAATTATGAAAAAGGTTAGGATTATCTTGCAAACAGCAACATATGATAGGTGACATGTGACTGATGAAAAACCGAGCCAAATACAAGTTTAGTGAACACGACTTAAGATAATGATTGGATCAATATTTTCTGTTTAAATTGATCCCTATAATAATTATTATTAAATAAATAAAGCATCCGACCAATTACTTAAATATAATTTTGTAGAAATGTAACTATTATTTGCATACAAGACGTGATAACTAAGACTATGTTCAGTCAGACATAAGCAACATAGAACCTAGCGTATATGTGAATCATTTCAAGTTGTCACACCACACCACGACATGTAACAGTTATATAAGTAGTAACAGTTTTAGTGGTATTAGAAAAGATTAAGCACAGAGGATATAATTTGACAAGAAAATATAGACTTGTGGAGTAAAAATTCCTTCCAGATATTTATGAAACTTAAGATCTAACGGAAAACAAAAGAGTGGATGCACCTCTATCATTGTGAACAATTGTGAGTCATGTCACTCAATGTTTCTATTCATTATTGAAGATGATCGCTCAAACCTCAAACAAATAGTCTGAACCTACTTAAACGTCTCACTCCATCACTCAATAATTTCATGGACTGATGACACATTTGGTTTGACACTCTTATCTTCCTTATAACTTACTCCTGTATCAGCCATCATTGTCCATCGAGGTAGGCGGTAGTTGGGCATACGTAATACATGTCTCATCCACATCAGTCGATAAATAATCAGTACTTCACTAATTGGCTTGTGACCCTTACCTAGTAACTGTTGTCTAATCCTAACATTACTTACTCGGTCTCCATATCGTACAATATCTTTCCTTATGCTCAAATTTGGTGCTTGCTAAAATAGGCAGTTGTCTAAGCGCATTTGCAGAAGACGTTCAACGTTTTCGTTCGCTTAAATTGAACATCTTAAGACCCACTTTAGTGTCCTTCACTTTTTTAGACTACCCACCAGGTGATTAAAATTCCCTACTACAATTACGATGTCTGTGCGTTTGACCTTTCGAAGTTGAACAAAAGGCTTTATGTAAAACTGATCATTTACTGCAGTCATGGGAGCATAGCCAACAACGACCAAGAGACGATTATATTTTTCCGATTTCTTACTGCCCTGTTTAATCGAAGAGTATACAATCGACTGTCTCATGATCCAGTTTAAAAGAGTCTTCTCTTTTGTGACTTAATTCTGCACTTACACATTCGAGACCACAAGAAGAAGCGGGTAGGCTACAAGCTACACCATGATATATCGCGTCAGTTCTCTATTTTGACGTCAAGCGAATGACATCACTTTAGTTATTTATTCTTGTCTCCGATAAACAGTATACATCAATAGCACTAAATTCTAAGGACTTAGATAAGAAAGTTTGTTGTGTAATTTGACTCAAGTTTCGAACATTGAATGGTCGGACGTGTAATTCAGAAAGCTGTTTCTGGGGATCCACAATAGCACTTCATGAACTCAAATTGTTAGCGTTGGTGGCACATGGCTTTAAGGCCATGGGAGAAGAGTAGATACTAAGGATAGAAAAAAAACATTCAAGAGTGACGAAAGGATTTAATCATGAACAAGGTAATCTCGAGTGTGGAAGAGGTTGTCCCCTCCGAGTTAACCAAACTGTAAAAGGATGTTTTTCTTGAGAGGTCTGTAAAGGAAACTGGGTCTCAGTTGGTCTCGGCGACCTTTGAGCATGATCACAGAGCCCAAAGGACAACTGCTTATGGCTGGTCACGCGCGGAACCTTTTTCACTCGTCAGCTCCTTAATTTAAAGTAATTATCATTTTAGACGAATAACCACAGGGCTAAGTCAGGTGTGACATTTTTAGCACTGGCCTTTTCTTATCCCTTCCTTTCGTTGTGAAAATCAGCATTTCTGTGGATGCCAGTACAACCACACCGTTGTCTCAGACCTCAATGAACATTAAAATCTATGTACTTAATATAGGATCAGTTGTAAATAGATATTTGGCTTTGGTGATTACATTATATAGGTTCCTCGAAAATCCAAAATAATAATTGTTATTGGAGTTGCTAAAAACTGTTCGATTAATTTATCTTTATAAACGATACACGGTCACTTCTTGCTGCTCATCACAAATAAGGTACGTTTGTGGTTAATATATTTCTACAAGTGTATACATTTTAACTGACATAAGATCATGCAGTGTACATTTATTGTATTTTCACTGTAAAGGATTGGTGATATTCAGTATAGTCTATGTTAATTTAGACTAGATATTTGTTGTTCCGTACGAATAAAAGTACCTGTGGTTTAATTTCATCGCCCACGCCTTCTAGCTCATTTGTGAATTAGTCATGTGCTGTTATTTGAGTTTTTATGCGGAAAAAACGCCATGTGGTACACGTGAAAATATGACCTTAAACAATATGTGGAAATTGATTCGTCAATTCATTATATGTATTCACAAACAAATAAACATTGATGAAAACTATGATCTGTATAGAATTATTTGAACCTGTACCCTTTTTTCATTTCGCTACAATGGGACATTTGAATTACTTTACAAGCTGTCTTTCTGATGCCTTTTCCTCTGAAATTGTATAGATTCTGTTTCACTAAAAAAAAGCATCACTTAGCGGATCAACATTAAAGCACTAATTACTGTGAAAGAGACCTTTTAGTGTATTGATGTTTCATGATACAAATCAAATTGAAATAGAATCAAAGGTGGTGGTATTCTGATAGAATAGGGTTAGCTCAACAAACCGGTACAAAAATGTTGGGGGAATTTGATCATTTATAGATGATTTAAAACTGAAACTAGTGTCCTTAAGGAACTCCAACCACTTCATAGGGTTAAAGTGGGATTATAAATTATTGTGAGGAATTACAACTAGCAGTCAGAGTTAAGAGCCAGGGTTAAGGTTTCCATCACTAACTGGTGTCAGCTATAATGCCAAAATGCTATTGAACTATCTAGATGAATGCGTTTCGCTCTAAAATTCATGAGTTGTTCTCTTCAATCTGACTAATTCATCTGTAAATTATAATCTTACCGATGGCAGTCACATTTACAGTATGTAATTGAATCATTGAGCTTCTTTCTTTCCGTCTAACTTACCTAAAAATATTATAGTTTAAACCAGTTTTCTTGATACTTATTGTAAGATTTTGACTAGAGATCACAGAGAAATTTTCCTTCTGAGTTATGTTTTTTTTCGAAAAATATTACTACCGACTGAGTCAAAAGCAAAACTTAATGATGCCAGTTTTTTAACGTCTGCATGACCCTCTATCAATTGCATTGAACTTTACTTTGATACTCATTACTAAAAATGTTAAGTGGGTGATGCCTTTTTCATGTCTTCTGTTGACTAATATTGGGTCTATCAGTCATGTCATATCCAACAATTAACTAGTAAAAAGGATATTTACACGTCAGATTACTAAGGTTGCTATCAAACACTGACGAAAATCTCACAGGAAATCATTTACTGGACACTAACGTTTTTTAAAAACACTTTTGAATGTTCTATCCTTGTTACAAATAACCTAGAAACAGATATCTTGAGAAAACGTGTAAAATATTTGTTAAGACGCGATAATGTATTGGTAAATGATTCAAAGTGATTATGTTTTATGCATAGAATAAAAAGCCCACTATTTTGTTTCATATTTATATCTTTTATGAACTGTACAAATTTTATGTGATGGTTGATAATCATTTCTAAGCGTTTTCCTACTTAAGTCAACTTCATTTTTTACGTTCTGCTAACTGAATTAGTCAACTGGACTATTAGCCTCTTAAGTTGCACCGTATACGGAATCAACTTTGAACCAATTCGTATCAGAAATTACCCAACTACTAATTGTCATCTTCGTCCGTGTGTGTGCTCGTAAATCACGTTAATCATATGCGATAC